ATATAATTTTTTAATTTTTTAGTGAAAGTAGTAAAAGTAAATTTTAGTCAGACATAATTGTTTAAATTTATCAAATTTCAGTATCAGTAGTATAAGTAAATTTAATTCAGACAAATTTGTTTAAATTCTTTATTTTCAGTATCAGTAGTAAAAATAACTTTTAGTCAGACGAAAACTTTAAAATTATATAATTACACTATTAGTAGTAGAAGTAATTTTTAGTCAGACAACCGTTCAAATTCCTGTAGTTTCAGTATCAGTAGTAAAAGTCAATTTTAGTCAGACAGAACCGTTTAAATTTGTGTAATTTTAGTTACAGTAGTAAAACTAAATTTTAGTCAGACAGAACCATTTAAATTTATGAAATTTCAGTATCAGTAGTAAAAGTCAATTTTAGTCAGACAGAAACGTATAAATTTTTGCAATTTGAGTTACAGTAGTATAAGTAAATTTTAGTCAGACAACCATATAATTTTTTAATTTTTTAGTGACAGTAGTAAATGTAAATTTTAGTCAGACAGAATTGTTTAAATTTATGAAATTTCAGTATCAGTAGTATAAGTAAGTTCAATTCAGACAAATTTGTTTAAATTCTTTATTTTCAGTATCAGTAGTAAAAATAACTTTTAGTCAGACAGATTAGTTTAAATTCTTGAAATTTCAGTATCAGTAGGTAAAGCAAATTTTAGTCAGATAGAATTGTTTAAATTCTTGTTTTTTTCAATATTAGTAATATAAGTAAATTTTAGTCAGACAGAACCGTATAAATTTTTGCAATTTCAGTTACAGTAGTAAAAGGCAATTTTAGTCAGACATAACTGTTTAAATCTTTGTTTATTCATGGATAGTAGTAAAAGTCCATTTTAGTCAGACAGAATTATTAAAATTTTTAAATTTTAGTTTTAGAAGTAAAAGTCAATTTTAGTCAGACAACCGTTTAAGTTTTTGCAATATTAGTTACAGTAGTATAAGTAAATTTCAGGTAGACAGAACTTTTAAAATGTTATAATTTCACTATCAGTAGTAAAATTAATTTTTAGTCAGACAATTGTTTAAATTCCTGTAATCTCAGTATCAGTAGTAAAAGTAAATTTTAGTCAGACAGAACCGAATAAATTTTTGCAATTTGAGTTACAGTAGTATTAGTAAATTTTAGTCAGACAGAACCTTCAAAATTTTATAATTTTACAATCAGTAGTAAAAGTAAAATTTAGTCAGACAACCGTTTAAATTCCTGTAATTTTAGTATCAGTAGTAAAAGTAATTTTTAGTCCGACAAAACACAATTACTTTCAACGATACTACATTGGGCCCTCATTGGACCTGGTATTGAATCTACATTGAACCCATATTGGATCTACATTGAACCAAAATTGGATTTACGTTGAACCTATATATTGAACCTACTTTGAATCTATTTATACCTTCTTATAGGATTCTATTTAAAATTCCAACCAAAAGGTAGTTAATACTACACTTTTAATAATTAGTAAGATATTTTCAGTATGAGTCACTGAATTTTAAGTTTGACAAGTGCAGGTGTTCCTTCTAATAAGTATATTTGCAAGGAGACTAAAAGCAAAATTAACATGAACAGCATATTGTGTTGCTACAAATGTAAGAGGCAATACCACAGAACAATCAGGAGTGATTTGCATAACGTATATATATATATATACTATACATATTTACATTGTCGATGCTATACGTGCCGTATGTGTGCTTATTTCACGTACACGCAAGAAATTCTTCTACCACTATAATAGAGATAAGTGTATACCTAAGATGCGGAACTGCTTTTGAGAGAGAAATTACTAAAACGTTCATTTTGAATGAACTAAGTAATAACTCATTTTTATTTTTAAATAAATTAAAATTATGTTGAAAAATTGAATATCTCAAAGGTATTTTTATTTAAAAAAAAAAAAATCACAATAGTATTTTTTATTTTGATAAAGAATTTAAAATTTTGTTTCAAAAAAAAAAATTGGTGGTAATTTTTTTTAAGTGATATATTAGAGAAGTTGGCATACCTACTTTTGTTTGTTTTCAGTCGTGCTAGAAAAGCGAGTTTTCTAATGTATTGTGTCTCTGACAGTGAACAAATGATGTAAAGTTAACAAACATGACTGCCCAAAATTGTCAATTTGTTGTGCTGCTAAAATTTCCCAACAACGTCTCAAAGGAATAACGAAAAAGAAAACTGCAATAGGTGTGAAATATAAGGAGATAATTTTTCTTGAATTTTAAATGTAAAATATAATATTGCAGTGAAATACTAAATTTTTGAATACTTGTGTGTTTTTAACATTGAATAATTTCTAAAAAAAAAAAAATGTTGAATTTATTACACACATTTTCAAATATATTGTATAAATGGGTTTTATTTTATTTGCCAAGTGGCAAAAGTTTTGTTTCGATTTTCCCCATTTTCTCGTTTGTGATCCTCTCAATAGGATTAATATACTCTTCCTTGTTTCAAAACTTTCTTCTTCCGTTTGTGATCCTCCCAGTAGGATTAACGAACGCTTTTTCGTTATTTATTTTTCTCTTATTCCATTTTTTGATTCTCTCAATAGATTGGAAAAAAAAAATTTTTTCGATCTATATTTTATGTAATTGTAAAATCATGTATTGTAAAAATTAACAAATTAATAATTTTTTTTGTAGTAAATAGAAAGAAAAACATTGTTGCAGTTGAGAAAAACAAATAGGACATGTTACTTTAGGCGCACTGAAAGACACAAATGTTGTGGAGTTTATCTAGAGGAATAGTGAGTAATGGGTCATTTAACTTTATACGACGGATAGAGAAATTAGGTTCAACATTTCAAGTGAACCTTAAAAAGCACAAGTGCATGATTTGTAGTTCATTAAGTCAATTACTGATCAATTAAAATTATTTAATGTTGACTCGTTTTTTTACACAATAATAAAAAAAAACTAAAATAACATTTATTTATTACTTTTATATTATTTGTTTATATAAAAATTTATTTTTAATAACATTTTTGATGTTTTCTTTATACTTAGGATTTTTATTTACACCCATTTGGTAGTTTTGTCATTGATTATAAAGAATTGCTATAGGAAACTTTTCTAAAGTAACTGTACAAGGTGCGCTCACATATTATAACTCAATATAAGCAGCTTATGTGCAGACCCCTTTGATGCTAGAGGTCGACACTCGGATAATTATTTCAATGTTCTTATACAGCACTGGATTTAGGATAAAAAAAATGATTTACGTCTTTATTTTATCCTACAAATGTTTAAATATGTTTTTTTTTTCATTAATAATATGAATCTTCTGTCAAAATTAATTCAAGACTGGTCGTTCAACTTTTTCTAAAAATAATTATTCCAGTCTTGAAAATATTTCTAAAATATGCATTGTTATCAAATCTTCAACCAATATTGATTTGACAATGCTAAGCTGCTTTCAGGCTGAGTTAATCATATCCAATCATCAGTTTTCGATTTTCTCATCTGCAAGGATACTTAATTATTTTAGCATGATTTTGTAAATTAATGAAGCAACTTCTATTGTATAATGTATTATATTTAATGTAGATACAACGATGCTTGGGATAATTAATTTCTTTTCGTATATAGTTTTCGGATAGTAGCTACAATCTACTTTGTTTGAATAAATCGATATAATGGAAGATGTTACTGTTGATGCTGCTATATATATCCATGGCTTTAAGGGTTTGATTTTGTGGATTTGTGTTCGTATATATATATATATATAGTGAAGCTTAATGAAATTCGTGTATTGGGAAGAAGTATATATATATATATTGCAAGTGTTTCGTGAAAATACAAGAAACAGATTTGCTACCAAGCATGACTTAACATTTTCTCACTTGCCATTAATCATTTTCCATTTAGGAATATAAAAAAAGAAATGATTTTTTGATTATTAGAAAAAGTTATTTTTAATAGAATATAAATAATTCTGAACATTCAATGAAAAATACTATCAAATATTAATAAAAGATTCAATTATTTTTAGAAATAATATTGTCATCAATTTTCATATCATCATCAATTTAATATAATTCTTGCTTTAAATAATTAATTAATCAATTAAAATCTCTAATAATTTTGTCAACAATTTTCAATAATTGTTTGCTTTTTTTTATTTATTTAACTCATCATTAAAAGTACATTAATGGAAAACGTTCAGTTATCATCAAAATAAAAAAAGAAATTCGCTATAATTGTGAAAAGCTGTAGTAATTAACACAAGCTGCGTGACTCTTTTGAAATATCAATTTCATTTAAAATACAATCAAAACTGGATATTAATTTGCATAAATACTAATGACATTTATGGGATTAATGTAAATTTTTTTTTCTTTTTCATTTCAATAATGAAAAAGTGAAAATTTTTTTAAAAAAAAGCTTTATACTGTTTTATACCGGTAGGAAGTAAATTAGTGGATAAAGATTATGGAGAAGCTCTTTCGACCCACCTTACTGTGGGAGCAGCGAAAGTAGATATAATATTTATGAAAGGAAAGCCACACCTCTCCTCACACTAAAATTCCAAGTATTATAACACTACTCGTACACTTTCAATGCTCCTTTTCTTGCAAAGCTTCCACCTTATTCGTATAACATCACACCAATATAGTTCTCTTACGATCTCAAAACTCGTTCATATTACGGTGCATTTACCTACGGTTCAAGTATATATGGTCATAACATGTGGTCGCTATAACGTTTCACTGCGAAATTGCTTCAACTTATTTTATCTTCTTTTTTTTTATCATTGGATATGATAAAATATTGTAAATGAGAAACAACCAATAATCGAAAATTTAAAAAAAAAAAAAAACATTTTTTTAACAATATATACGCTATCTTCAATTTATTTTGACCCTAAGTTGGCCTAGATTGGACCAAATTTGAAAGTATTACTCATTCGATAAAAGCATTGTAAAGACAAATAATAGAAAAAAAATTAGAAAAAAAAACCTAAGCATTCTTACCACGTCGATGAGTTGTGAAAGCTTGAGCTTAATGCACACGCGAAGAACATCCGAGGTATTCACCACCGGTCGCACAAGCTTATTGTAGTTAGATAGAAGGTCGTCGTAGAGCCGCTTTGCGTCCGGATTTCCAGCAACGGCACCGTGAACAACCAATGCGGATAGAAACCATATGCGAAAGGTTTCCCCGATTATGGGGGGCATCGTGCAACCCCGTTAACCCCACCGTGATGTCACCTTATTTCGCTTCGTTCGCCCTTACACGATACACAACCTGAGAAAAAGAGAAAATTTTGTTATCAAAAATATAAGAAATGATTGTTTCAAATTTTTTTTCGCAAATTCGTTTATATTATATAAACATTCAGCAAGAACTTAGAATTTTCTTCACTCTTCTTTTGAGACAAAAATTGGTATACAAAAGTGGTAAAAGACAGTTTCAGTCAGACAATAATTTCACGAATTCTTATGGAAATTTGATGTCAAGTAGTAAGAGACAGTTATAGCTAGACAATACTTTTTGGAATTTTTGTGCTGCTTGTAGAACAGTGTTGTAAAAAAGATTCTCAATTTTGTGTATCAGTAGTAAAAGTAATATTAGTCAGACAATCGTTGAAATTTATGCAATTTCAGTTTCAGTAGCGTATGTAAATTTTAGTCAGACAGATTAGTTTAAATTTTTGCAGTATCAGTAGGTAAAGCAAATTTTAGTCAGATAGAATTGTTTAAATTTATAAAATTTCATTATAGGTAGTGTAAGTAAATTTTAGTCAGACAGAATCGTTTGAATTTATGAAATTTCAGTATAAGTGGTATAAATAAATTTTAGTCAGGCACATTCATTTAAATTCTTGTAATTTCCGTATCAGTAGTAAAAATAAATTTTAGTCAGACAAAATCGTTTAAATTCTTTATTTTCAGTATCAGTAGTAAAAATAACTTTTAGTCAGACGAAAACTTTAAAATTTTATAATTACACTATTAGTAGTAGAAGTAATATTTAGTCAGACAGAACCGTTTAAATTTGTGTAATTTTAGTTACAGTAGTAAAACTAAATTTTAGTCAGACAGAACCATTTAAATTTATGAAATTTCAGTATCAGTAGTGAAAGTCAATTTTAGTCAGACAGAACCGTATAAATTTTTGTAATTTGAGTTACAGTAGTATAAGTAAATTTTAGTCAGACAACCATATAATTTCTTAATTTTTTAGTATCAGTAGTAAAAGTAATTTTAGTCAGACAACCGTTTAAGTTTCTGCAATATTAGTTACAGTAGTATAAGTCAATTTCAGGTAGACAGAACCTTTAAAATTTTATAATTTCACTAGTAGTAGTAAAAGTATTTTTTAGTCATACAACCGTTTAAATTTCTGTAATCTCAGTATCAGTAGTAAAAGTAATTTTAGTCAGACAACCGTTTAAGTTTTTGCAATATTAGTTACAGTAGTATAAGTCAATTTCAGGTAGACAGAACCTTTAAAATTTTATAATTTCACTATCAGTAGTAAAAGTATTTTTTAGTCAGAAAATAGGTTAAATTTCTGTAATTTCAGTATCAGTAGTAAAAGTAATTTTTAGTCAGACAGAACGGTTTAAATTTTGGTAATTTCAATATCAGTAGTAAAAGTAAATTTTAGACAGAACCGTTTAAATTTTATAATTTTACTATCAGTAGTAAAAGTAAAATTTAGTCAGACAACCGTTTAAATTCCTGTAATTTTAGTATCAGTAGTAAAAGTAATTTTTAGTCAGACAGAATCGTTTAAATTCCTGTAATTTTAGTATCAGTAGTAAAAGTAATTTTTAGTCAGACAGAATCGTTTAAATTATTGTAATTTCAGTATCAGTAGTATAACAAATTTTTAGTCAGACAGAGATTTTCAAATTATTTTTATTTCCGTAACAGTAGTAAAAATAAATTTTGGTCAGACAAATTCGTTTAAATTCCTGTAATTTCAGTATCAGTAGTAAAAGTAATTTTTAGTCAGACAGAACGGTTTAAATTTTGGTAATTTCAATATCAGTAGTAAAATTAAATTTTAGTCAGACAAAACTGTTTAAATTCTTTTAATTTCAATATCAGTAGTAAAATGAAGTTTCAGTAAGACTTTCTCATTTCTTACAAAGGTATCAAAATTACTTTCAATCATACATAAAGTTACAAATTCATGTAATTCAGTTTATATTGTTTGTTTTTTAAAATTAATTTATTTCATATTTTTTTTTATTTTTAATTATTTTTTTTTTAATATTTTGATACTTTAGAAATGATCAAATTGATTATTATACTAGTTAAATATTAAATAATATTCTAAGGGTAGCTTAAAATATTATATGAACAATAAAGGTCATTATTAACTATGTTGTAAAGTTTAATACTCATGTTAATCAAATTTAGTATGCAAATTTTACAAGGCTAACTAGCATATAGAAAACGAAATTCACTGACAGAATAATTTTGATTTTCCATTTTTTTTGTTTCATGATTATAAATTTCAAGTGCTATAATATACATGGATTATAAAACAGTTTTAATAATTTAACTGTATATTAGTTTCTAAATTAAATAAATATGAGTAAATTTCATTTGATTAGAATAAATAATTTCTCTGAGTGCAGTATATGACAATATTTAAACCACAAAAAGAGTATTTTAATTATTTAAAAATGTTGTATTTCTCAACATTATAATTACATTTTATGTTATAATCCTATAGAGTAAATACCAAACATTCCTGTAACACACATTCTGTTTAACAATTTACCAATAGGATTTAATTATAATTTGATTAGTTTACTTAATTTTCAATATATTGTTTCAAAATTCTTATATTAATGAAAAAAATATAATTTTTTAATTTATTTTATTATTAATTAATTAGTTATTTATTTTATGGATTATTTAGCCTAAATTTTGTATACATAATGTATTAAAAACATTCAAAATCTTATCTTCAAAATATTTATATGTATTTTGATAGTAAAATTATGTACATAAAGTTTCCTAAAGTATCTTATACTGAAAATCGCTAAAATAATGTCTTAGACACAACGTCTTTAACATATTTTACAAGCAAAAAGGTATTGTAATGCTTGTCTTTGTTGTCTGCTTCTCTTTTATTTTATATTCACGTAATTTGCTGTCCTGATATACTTTATGATTTACAAGTATTGTATAGTTCAAATCTTTTATAAAACATGAAAGTTTATTTTCAGTTCATAATTATTATAAAATATTATTTTTGAAATTAATGAATTTAAAATGAATTTAAATAGTGTTAAAATTAAACAGATACTAATCAGTATAATTATCATTGAAAGTCGTTATTGCTGTGAAATGGGGAGAGATTCGTTGCAAGTAGATTGTTCTGATCGGTACTCGAAGGTCGTTAGGGATGCCTCTAGCTCTACGATCAGATCGTCGGAAAATCCCGTTGTGGTGACCTGGGATTCGGATTAACCGGATGGGATCCAAATTCCCGTAACTTGTCCTAACACAACTCACATGTCGTATTTCGAGTTGAGTTGTCACTCGACCCAGTAATCAAGTTGAATCGCATGTGTATATTGGACACAGAAACCGTCAGCTGCAAACTACGCAATAGGTAAAAGACGAACCTGTTAGTCAAGTAAACGTTTTTGGTCGTTCGTGCGGATAAATGAAATTTCTCAAAAAAAAAAAAAAAAAAAAAATTCTACACTCAAAACATATACAGCAACAAAGTTTCAATTGGAAAATATATACGGGAATATTCATCCAAGTAAAAGGAGGTCTATTACACTCTTTGCATACATATAGCATACAATTTAAACTAAAATTGTGTTGTAACACTCAAGTATATATAAGAAAGGTTGACGTCTTTTGAATAAATTCTCAATTTTGCCTTCGTAATTTCTTTTCAGTCAACCAAAGTGTGTTCTATATAAGGAGGAGTAAATAAAATCTCAGAACTGAGTTTATAAAAGTAAAGTATTACTTTTCTGCAATAGTAATATTTATTTAGTTAATATCAAAGCAATGCAATTGTCATTATTATTATTAAAGTTGAATTTTCCGCTATTTTATGAAAAAATATTTTTTTTTTTTTTGCCTTATAATAGAAAAGTAAACTTGGAGTTTTCTATATTTGAACTAAAATTGAAATTCTCAGGAAGCTCAACATTTTTCTTAGAAAAATTTTCACGGCAAAGGAAGACAAAATTTTTCACGAAAATGTTACCTTGGTATAAGTTTGCAAAGCAAATTTTTCAAAATGAAATTTTTTTTTTTCCTTCAATATATATATATATTTGTATTTTGTTACATAATAATAGTGTAATATATAAACATTCTTACTGACACTTCAAAGAAGGATTATTTAAATTTATTGCTCAGCTACGCATAGCTAACAGGCGAATATATAGTCAGATTCGATAGACATATATATACTATGCACGAGTATTCATTTTAATTTTATCACACAAACTTTAAATTAGATTCTATATTGTAAACTTTCCACAAGAAGAACATTTTCGTACATTTTGACTAAAAATTGTCTGTAAACTTTGTGCTATCTGATGTTAATATTATTTTCATTGAAATAGAGAACATTATCTTATGAAAAAAATAATAATAATAATTTTAATAATTATTATAATAATAATATTAATTAACCAAAATTGACCAAAATTAACGTACTTAACAATCGAATTCTGTTAATGAGTAGTGATAACAGATTTTAGTCAGACACATATGAATTGTATATAATTAAACTTTTAGCTGTTTTAAAACAAAATCAAATATTAGTTTCAAAACAATTAACAATTTACGAAATTTAATATAATTTAATTAAAAATTTGCTATACATTAAAATATATGCATATCATATATTAGAAATTTTGCAGACGTGTCAAATTTAATAGATACCAGATTTGACGTGAATACAGTGTTTAAGCGTTAGTGAGGTAATCCCATCTCTCTCATATTACACCTTTTCCTTTGAACCCGGAAGTCTCATCAAATTAAGTCAATCTCTATATATAATAATAAAGTTATAAAAATAAAATCATAATGCTTTTTTCAAAGTGATTTTTCTTAATTTTTGAGATTGCAATGAACATTGGAGTTGTTCATTGTTGTCAAAAATCCAACAATTAATTTTAATTTCAGCTAAAACGTCATGTAACTTACAATTTTTGCCTGTTATGAAAATTTTACATTGAATTTTATTATGAAAAAAAAAAAAATTGATAAATCAATAATAAATCTGAAGGCAGTTGAAGTCAATATATACATATATAATCGGCTTGGAAAAAGTAAGAGCCTATCAACAGAAGTGTTCTTCAGTTCAATTTAAATAACCGTCACTAAATTTACCTTTGCTATAAATTTAAAGATTGTTTTCTCGACTCGTAAAATTACAATCGGCTTTAATAGTGAATCCATAATGGTTAATTAAAGTGAAATAATCGATAGGGACAAGAAAACTTTAAGTACAGTAAATTGATATTAAAAAAAACCAATGTATAAAACGTGTTTATTAATTGTGTATAATTAAATTGTATGTTTGAAATTCAGTCTCTAAGAAATAGAGAAATTTAACGCACGTTATTTTTTTGTTTTAGTTTAACTAATTCAATAGACCAAAAAATACACAAACAAAAAATAATTATTGTTTCTCGAAAAACAATAATTTTAATGTAAATTTTTTTATTCTTTTGTTTTTATACTTCAACTTTTTTCCGTCTACATAAATTACTTTTATTTTCGTAAAATTGAATTAATTGAAAAATAAGTAAAGAAAAAAAAATGTTGAACACTTTCAATCATGAAATATAACTGTCTTATTTTCTCAAAAATGACTCTTCAATAAATCACTGTGAGAAACAATTAAAACTTTTACCAACAATTACAAACTAATATTCTTTGCTTGTTTTTCAATTTATACGAAATCAAGTAATAATTAATTAGTCTCAGTTTTTTTCTTCTTTTTATAAAAAAGTACTTTTTATTACTAATACTAATATAAGTAGTAAAAATAAATTTTACTCAGACAGAATCGTTTAAATGTATAAAATTTCAGTATCAGTAGTATACATTTTTTTAGTCAGACAGAGATTTTTAAATTCTTTTTATTTTCGTATCAGTAGTAAAGGGAAATTTTAGTCAGACAGATTTGTTTAAATTCTTGAAATTTCACTATCAGTAGTATAAAATAATTTTAGTCAGACAGAATCGTTTAAATTCTTAAAATTTCCCTGTCAGTAGTATAAAATAATTTTAGTCATACAGAATTGTTTAAATTTATAAAATTTCATTATAAGTAGTATAAGTAAATTTTAGTCAGACAGAATCGTTTAAATTCTTAAAATTTCCCTGTCAGTAGTATAAAATAATTTTAGTCAGACAGAATCGTTTAAATTCTTGTAATTTCAGTATCAGTGGTAAAAGTAAATTTTAGTCAGACAGAATCGTTTGAATTTATGAAATTTCAGTATAAGTGGTATAAGTAAATTTTAGTCAGGCACATTCATTTAAATTCTTGTAATTTCCGTATCAGTAGTAAAAATAAATTTTAGTCAGACAAAATCGTTTACATGTTTGAAATTTCAGTATCAGTAGTATAAAAAAGTTTTAGTCAGACAGAGCTTTTTATTTTCGTATCAGTGGTAAAAGTAAATTTTAGTCAGACATAATCGTTTAAATGTATAAAATTTAAGTATCAGTAGTATAATTTTTTTAGTCAGACAGAGATTTTTAAATTCTTTTTATTTTCGTATCAGTAGTAAAAGGAAATTTTAGTCAGACAGATTCGTTTAAATTCTTGTAATTTCACTATCAGTAGTATAAAATAATTTTAGTCAGACAGAATCGTTTAAATTCTTAAAATTTACCTGTCAGTAGTATAAAATAATTTTAGTCAGACAGAATCGTTTACATGTTTGAAATTTCAGTATCAGTAGTATAAAAAAGTTTTAGTCAGACAGAGCTTTTTATTTTCGTATCAGTGGTAATAATAAATTTTAATCAGACAAAATCGTTTACATGTTTGAAATTTCAGTTATACTTCTCTCAGCTCAATCAATAATTAACTTCTTGCATTTTTTTTTAAATAAATAATTAATAACAATAAAAATCAATAAAAAAAACATCATATTCTTCTCTTGTATTGCTTTATTTAGCAACTCACAATTGTTTTTTATGTATGATTAACTGAATCATTGAATACAAATTTTATTTATACATTTGTAAAATACAAAGATGATTTCTTTACTTATACTGAGCTGGAAAGTTGTGGTTACATCTTTTATCTCTGACCGCGTAGAGTAGTACAATTTATCTAGCGGTAGAAAAAGGGGTGTGGGGTATAAAAGTTTGAGAACCGTACATATAGCGGAAGAGCATTCCTATTCCTAACTAAATGGGCGTTCTCAAGAAAATCAGAGAATTTCCGCCTTCGAGAGGGAAGAAAGACAGAAGAGAAATCTATATCGAATCCATTCTGTCGAAAAGACCCTGACAGTAATTCGAAACTCGCCTGGTAGCGCAAAGACGAACCAAATTAGACGTACATTTTCTCATATATATATATATATATATATATATATATAATAGCGATTGTTTTCCTCGCAATCAAACATATCTAGAAATAGACAACTCTTTTATATACTTTAAAATATTTATAATTATTTTAAGGAACAATATTTTTTTGATCTAAATAAACTTTTCATTGATTCAACTAAATGTTTGGTTGATTCTAAAATTTAAACAAAATTTTGTTGTTTCAAACAAAAATTTTTTTCTGATTGTATTTTTTTGGGAAAACCGTCATAAAATTTTAGTATCAGGTAAATTATGTCAATATTTGGTTATTATTTATAAAAATTAATATTTTTAAGAGGCCCTAAAAGGTTGAAAACTGTAACTCATAGGATCAACGCGAAGGTAATTTCAAACAGTACTGTGTTTTAAACATAATAACTCATCATAATAGCTTCATAAAATTTATTGAATGGAGTAGTGAAGTTAAAATTTAAAAAAAAATTATTTTATTAAAAAAAGGAAAAAAAATGTCAATTTTATTTCTTTACTTTATGAACTGGATATTTTTGAGTATTCGTAAGAGTTTTTCATATAATTTCCATTTTATATATTCGGAAAGCAAATGTTAATAACATAAAAAAAAAATTAGTTTTATAATTCTTAAATTTGAATTATGCTATTATATGTATTGAATCACTTTTAAAAGATGATAAGCACTTTTTACATTGTGCGCTCATTTTGTCTGAAACTGGAATATTTTTTAATTTCCGGATTCTTCGGTATTAAAGTCTTAAATATTGTTTTTCTTTTTTTTTTAAAGGGAACATTGCTCATTCTTTAGAACGTTCTTTTTAAGTATGTATGTATAAAGAACAGCAGTATAAACAATGTAAACTCTCTGAAATCTACAAATATTATACGTACGCGCTTTACTCTTTTCAATAACAAATCCTTATTTACTGAAAAGACAATTCTACTTTTATGTTAGTACACTTATAAAATTCTCATAAAAATGTAACTAGGAATTAAAAAAAAAAAAAAGTTTTTAAAAAATGTTTTAAATGACCATTTCTTTTATGCAATTAAAAAAATTCCAATGAGTTTTTCAGTGTATTTTTACATAAAAGAATAATTAATTAAATTAGTAGAAAAATTTGTTATCAAAAATAAATTAAAAATCAAATCACAATGAAACGATTTATTACCAACAAAATTGTTTTTAATAATCAATTTTTGTATATTTGTTTTGTTTAAACAATGGACCGGTATAATTGTCCAAAACAAATTGGCTATCATTTTTAACTCTTGATCAATAAGCTAATTTATCGGAATTTAATAAATGATTAAAAAAAACGTTTTTTTTTAATATAAAAACAAATATTATTAATTAAAACATTTAATTGGGAATTTTGTAACTACAAAACTAAAAACGAAATTCATCTGAAAAGAAAATTTCCAATTCATGATATAATTGGATATTTATATTAATAAATTAAAGTATCCATTGATGTAGTTTTTTAATATTTTACAATGGTTTCATTTTTCAAAAAAAAAATCTACCTCAATTTTCGTTGGTTTCATTCATTTCAATGTAAATTCCAATTTTAATTACATTATATTAAATTTTTGTAAAAATGAAAGGAATAACTTTTATGTCATAAAATGAATGAAAAAAGAAACTAAATCCCCTTATAGAAATGAATGGAAACAAGCAAAATACCAACAAATTTCATTAAATTGGAGAAAATAAAAGTAAATGTGAAATAAAAACGGGGAATACTTAAAAAAAATTGAATTTTAAATAATTTTAAATAATTCTTTTGAAATTGTTTGGCAAAATAATTTAAAGTTGAAGAAAGAAAATAAAATCTCTCACAAAAATGAGTTAAAAAATAGAAGTTATTCCAAAAGAGAGAAGACACTGACCTAACCGCGCGCACTCCAGCCCACACCGTTCTCGAAAACCCACAGTTTTTGTATCCGCTGCACTGGCACGCACTGCACCTACAACTGACTAGACTCTCTCATTCTGTGTTACTTGCTACCACCCTGATGAAGGATTTTGTCCGCCTAGAGGCGCCACCTTGCGCTTCGTATATGCTCCAGAAGAGAGAAGAAACCAACCCCCAATGGGTGGATGATAGGAACGACTGATGGGAACAAAGGAGCAAAGGAGAATAAGGTGAAAAAAAAAAAAATTTATAAAACAAACACAGAACACTTTAATCTTAGAAAACAAAGTATCATTCCTTTCAGGTCCTTTCCGCTTATAAATTTCACATTTTTCATTCAAGTACAAAGCATTCTTTCATTCATTCATTCATCATACTTTAAAGAATTATGTTGACATTATGAAATCTTTAAATGAGAGGGAAAAAAATCAAAAATTGACTAATTTTTTATCTAAAAGGAACTGTTTTTTTCAAGTTATAAAACAAAAACACTTATAAAATAGTTAAAGTACACTCAGAAATTATTGTTTATTAGAATTAATACTATTAATTAATTTAGTTTACAAGGAATTAAAAACAAAAATATTTTCCTTTTTACTTGCGCGCGCAAGAAATTTCCAATCTCTATATAGTTGAACTATAGAAGGTGCGCCATAAAAGTGCCGATCGAAAGGGTGTCTTGGATTTTAAAAGCTTCTCACGAGACTAAGGCACTTTATTTTCTTGGACAAGGAAAAATGAGACAAATTTAGATTGACTTTAGATGCTACACTATATAACAATACTTTCTTTTTTTTTAAAAAAAAGCAGAATTTGATATCTTCTTTCTCGAAGTTCTATATTCGTTTAATGTTTAACAAATTATTACTCAAATAGAATCTAGTAATTGCTTTCCATTAGTATTGAGAAAATAATTCATTAAAAGCAATTAATACTTTTAAATAAATAAATTAAAAATAGACATTATATATACAAAATGATGAAATCTCTATGAGAAATAGAAGCAATTATGCGTGTTCCCCAGACATAATTAAAGAAGCACTCTATGGAAGTGGGTACTGTCAAGCGGTGTACAAGAAGCAATCTTAAAAGAAGTTGTCATAAAGAGGTAAGAAAGATAAGAAACACCAGATTTAGAAAACACCACCAAAATTTTGTTGTTTCTAACTAAAATTTTTGGCCTATGAAAATGTTTTTCAAAAGCATTAACAGCATTAATTTCAACAATTTTAAGTCAGAAACTTTACTAGATTGATCTAAAATTTAATCAACTGTTTTTTGTTAAGTTAAAAAATTGATACAGTACAAAGTATATATACTAATAAAACATTGAAGCTTTTATTCTTTTGGAGATAAACCAGAAATAAGAGTTTAATGAATAATATCTCTCTCTCACACAGTTAAGAGATTAAAATTTATAGAATGCAAAAGAAAAGTATTTTTTAATTTTGCAAGAAATTATAATTAAATAAGTAATATTTACCAGCTGTTACATTGGGCTGTTTTATTTCTTCGAATTTTACATGCTTTTATCTTCTAAGTCAATTTCCATTAACGAATATAATTTATTAGCAAAGCGCTATTTCACTATAATTATGAAAAAGTCACCAACATTTGCGAAACATATAATTGATTTATAGAACCAAATTTAAATACCATTTTCCTTTTTATAAAATCAATCTAACTTTTGTTGAGTCAACTTAAATAGTGAGTACAAAATGTATCTGTTAAAAAGAATAGTTTGAAAATGTCTCATGTTTCAAAAACGTTTTCAGAAAATGAAACATTCCTGTTCAGACCTAAAAAACGATTTAGAAACTTGAAACAAAAGCTCCATGGAAACATATGAATGGCTATACCTTGAAGGCATATTTGAAGAGTATATAATATCAAATGTCTACTTATCCTACATATTACTAAAATTTGTATATTAAAAAAGAAATTAAAGTTTTTGATATTTTTATTAACAGTGAATTAAAATATTTTTGGAATAAAAATTATTAGATCATATAGTCATAATATGTTTTATGAATTGCAATAAATTTTGATGTCGAAATGACATAAATTGCTATCTCAGCGCAATGGTACATATCAACATTGTGTATTGATTGTCAAGTGGCCCGATTAGTTCAACTGATTACTCTGCGAGTTGAGGCCTCATCATATTACATCCTACAGAACTTGGCAAGGTACCAATAAGTTCCTTGGATCAGCAACACCACTACAATACAGCCTAATGACATTGTTAGAAAATTGACAAGGTCAAATCATTACAAAAACGGTTGTTTTCAATTTGAACTGTTATTGAAAATTAAATATACATATTAGGAATTCTCATTCAGCTGGAAAAAATTTTTAGTTTAGAACAAAAAAAAAATATTGATAATTTTTAGCACGGTAAAAAAAATTTTAGTCATGCACGAAGAAATTTTTTTTTTTTAGACACCAATGGCACTCAGAGAGGGGAAGTTGTCCCCTCATGAAAGTTTCCCGACAACTTGATTCCATGAGGATCGTGACTTGACTCGTTCATTCTCTCTTGTATCGCCTCCATGACTATATTTACATCGCTTATTTAACTGAGTACTTAATATGCTTAACTAAAAAAAGGGTAACGTAATCCTATTGAAAATTTTCATATGGGTTTCTAATTAAGAGCCCTAAAAAAATATCAGTAGTAAAAGTAAATTTTAGTCAGGCAAATTCGTTTAAATTCTTTCAATTTCAGTATCAGTAGTAAAAGTAAATTTTAGTCAGAGAAAACAGTTTAAATTTTTTTAATTTCCCTTATCAGTAGTAAAATCAATTTTTAGTTAGAGAGAATCGTATAAATGTATGCAATTTTAGTATCAGTAGTATAAAAACATTTTAGTCAAACAGAGCTTTTCAAATTATTTTCATTTCCGTTTAAATCCTTGTAATTTTAGTATCAGTAGTAAAAGTGAATTTTAGTCAGACAGAATTGTTTAAATTATTGTAATTTTAGTAACAGTAGTATAAAAAAAATTTAGTCAGACAGAGATTTTCAAATTATTTTTATTTCCGTAACAGTAGTAAAAATAAGTTTTAATCAGACATAATCGTTTAAATGTTTAAAATTTCAGTATCGGTAGTATACATTTTTTTTAGTCAGACAGAGATTTTTAAATTCTTTTTATTATCGTATCAGTAGTAAAGGGAAATTTTAGTCAGACAGATTCGTTTAAATTCTTGAAATTTCACTATCAGTAGTATAAAATAATTTTAGTCAGACAGAAAAGTTTAAATTCTTGTAATTTTAGTATCAGTAGTAATAGTAAATTTTAGTCAGACAGAATCGTTTAAATTATTGTAATTTCAATATCAGTAGTATAACAAAATTTTAGTCAAACAGAGCTTTTCAAATTATTTTTATTTCCGTAACAGTAGTGAAAATAAATTTTGGTCAGACAGATTTGTTTAAATTCTTATAATTTCCGTAACAGTAGTAAAAATAAATTTTAGCCATACAGAATCGTTGAAATTCTTGTAATTTCCGTATCAGTAGTAAAAGTAAATTTTAGTCAGACAGAATCGTATGTAGAAAAAAAAATTACAAAAAAATAGTAGTAACTTACATTACCAACAAGACGACATCTGTTAGATGTCAACTGAATTCTATGCTTTCAAGCTCCTTCATGATAATTCAAAACTAAGTATATCAATGGATTTTTCGTCAAAAAATTATTTATTGTAACAACTAATAGATGTCACCTTGCCGGTAACTTCAATTACAATTGACTTAATTACTGTTTAATTTATCTGTATGGACTTACAATTACTTACTCTTCACCAAAGAAATTAAGCCTATCACAATTTAAATTTGCTTGTCTGTTAAGTCTACTAAAAATAGAGTATTGATCATAATTCGTTCTATTAAAAGTTGCAGTAAAAGATGAATATAATTAATTGCACCATTCTCATGATAATTTTGAATAAGAAAAAAATTTGATTTTGGTAATGAGTATTTTTATGAAATTGATCTCATACGAGGGCTGCCAATATCTATCAAATAAGTTGGGTCATTATTGAACGTATGTCAATGCTTTGTATAAGGGATTATGTAATTTTTTTTTGGTAATGTCGACTAAGTCGTAAAGAACAAAGAGCAGGCCCACTGGTTCTTGAAAAGGGTGTCAAGCGAAACTTCGAAAGCCTCAAAGTGGATAGTTAGTTACTTTAAGGCGAATTTTCAAGCCGATACAAAGGACAAAAGTGCTTTGAAACTGATGCTCTTGGTAAGGAAACTGAGGATATGTTTTACGTTGAATATATATCTATGTACAAGGGTCTTACGTGACTTACTTGTCGTGCATTAAATACTTCTTAGAAGTTTGTCACCGCTCAAGTGGTTTCTACATTATTTAACTTAAAATTGTCTTCTTTTTCATTTTTAAATGATTTGCCTCTATTTTTTACGTATTTTTTGATAAACAAAAAATTATCAATTTTTTCTAAATCCTTAAATTTCTTTAATGCCAAATGATTTATTATTAACATATCAAATTTAATAAATTGTGTCGACGAAGGTAAAATGTCGATAGAACATCTGCAGTGATTCGACAGCCCTTGAGAACTGCAGTCTTAGACGTACATTTCAGGTGCCAAATGGAACTATCTATACTAGTCGAATAAGTCGTTCCCAAAGGCATGAATGACGACTATAGTAAATTGAAAGAATTCAAGAAGGCAGTATAATAATTTTGGTAAAAAAATAAATTGTTTCTTAAAGAAATGATTTTATTAAGCATTAACGATTAAGAAGTTAATATATACCCAATGGGAAATTGCCATTGGTTACGATTGGACAAATAATGGGCCAAGAATGGTTTCCAATCGTTTTTTTCTTGTCAAACTATTGGCACACAATATTGGACCGCGATTGGTAAAATCTTGGGATGATCACGATGTTGCCAATCATTGGTAGCCAATGTTGTTTCATCATTGGCTGCCAAGAAAAAAATCGGTTTCTAAAAAGCTTGGTTATTAATTGGCTACCAAGATTGGACCATTATTGGAAGCCGATCGTTGGTTTTCAATAATGGTCCAATCTTGGTAGCCAATTAATAACCGAGCTTTTCAGAAACCGATTTTTTTCTTGGCAGCCAATGATGAAACAACATTGGCTACCAATGATTGGCAACATCGTGATCATCCCAAGATTTTTTTAATCGTGGTTCAGTATTGGGTACCAATAGTTCGAGAAAAAAATAAATTTCACACATTACAAAAAAAGATAGTTAAAATATCTTCAACCAATAAAAAGGGAAGAATATTTGCAAAGTGCGAACAAAATTGAACTGAATCCTTGACGACAAGGGAGGCTATTCTTATAGTGTTAAGGAAACATCTTGTTAGTGAGCAGAAACGACTACCGCACACCCTATACGTTACTTGTCGGAATTATTTCCATGCGCGTATGTTTTTGCGCAGCGCGGGGATTTTCAAATATCATTAGAAACATTGTAAGAAAGATGTAATAAATTTTTATTACAATACATTAAAAAAAATTAATTTAATTAAATGAACGAAAAAATAACACAAATATATATATATATATATATATATATATATAATATATACTTACATATTAATTATTTTTTTATTATATGTATACATAAAATATTTTTTCAACATTTAAAATTGCCCTAAAATATTTCCGACAAAAATTTTTTTGGGCTGAAAAAGTCTTTTTATTTAAATATCTAATTAAACGAATCAAAAATTTATTGATTTTAAATTTCATTTTTTCATAAATCAAATCACAGCACAGTTATTTAAAAAATTATATATTTTTAATTTAATTAGTTTTAAAAAAATTTTATTTTAAAATTAATTATTTAAAAATTTTTTGAAACTAATTAAATTTATTGATTTTTAAAATTCAAGTTTTTTAATTTGACTGTGTTTAAAATTCATTTGAAATAAAATCTAAGTATTTTGAAATTTACTTTTTTTTTAATTAAAATGTTTATAAAAATTTATTACTACTTTTAATTTTATTTCTATGCAAATTCAATTACCTATTTTATAAATTTAATATTTTCTATTTTAATTGTGTTTAACTTCAATTACATTAAAATCTAATTGCTTGGCAATTTACCTTTCAAATTTTAATTATTATTTTATTTTTCAATTCAAATGTTTTTAAAAATTATTTACTATTTTTAATTTCATTAACATGAAAATTTAATTTTATTATAAATTTAATCTTTTTTATTTTAATTATTTATAAATTTAATTACAAAAAATACAATTATTTTGCAATTCAATTGTTTTTAAAAATTACAATTTTATAGTTAGTGAAAGTGAATTATTATAAATTCATCCTTTTTATAGTAATTGTTATATAATTATTTTATAAATAATATTTTAATTGTGTTTAACTTCAATTACATTAAAATCTAATTGCTTGGCAATTTACCTTTCAAATTTTAATTATTATTTTATTTTTCAATTCAATTGTTTTTAAAAATTATTTACTATTTTTAATTTCATTAACAAGAAAATTTAATTTTATTATAAATTTAATCTTTTTTATTTTAATTGTTTTATAAATTTAATTACAAAAAATACAATTATTTTGCAATTCAATTGTTTTTAAAAATTACAATTTTATTCAAAAGTAAAACATTTAAAATCATGATTTTTCTCTCTTTTTTCCCTTCATTCCATTAATGGTAATTAGTAAACAATTCACATTTTATTTTATATCTTACAAAATGCTGTTTAAAAACATAAAATTCCAATTACATAAATTCGACGCTTTACTACATTTTTTTCTGCAAAATTATTATAATTAATTTTATTATTTATAAAATAATTATATAACAATTACTATAAAAAGGATGAATTTATAATAATTCACTTTCACTAACTATAAAATTGTAATTTTTAAAAACAATTGAATTGCAAAATAATTGTATTTTTTGTAATTAAATTTATAAATAATTAAAATAAAAAAGATTAAATTTATAATAAAATTAAATTTTCATGCTAATGAAATTAAAAATAGTAAATAATTTTTAAAAACATTTGAATTGAAAAATAAAATAATAATTAAAATTTGAAAGGTAAATTGCCAAGCAATTAGATTTTAATGTAATTGAAGTTAAACACAATTAAAATAGAAAATATTAAATTTATAAAATAGGTAATTGAATTTGCATAGAAATAAAATTAAAAGTAGTAATAAATTTTTATAAACATTTTAATTAAAAAAAAAGTAAATTTCAAAATACTTAGATTTTATTTCAAATGAATTTTAAACACAGTCAAATTAAAAAACTTGAATTTTAAAAATCAATAAATTTAATTAGTTTCAAAAAATTTTTAAATAATTAATTTTAAAATAAAATTTTTTTAAAACTAATTAAATTAAAAATATATAATTTTTTAAATAACTGTGCTGTGATTTGATTTATGAAAAAATGAAATTTAAAATCAATAAATTTTTGATTCGTTTAATTAGATATTTAAATAAAAAGACTTTTTCAGCCCAAAAAAATTTTTGTCGGAAATATTTTAGGGCAATTTTAAATGTTGAAAAAATATTTTATGTATACATATAATAAAAAAATAATTAATATGTAAGTATATATTATATATATATATATATATATATATATATATATATATTTGTGTTATTTTTTCGTTCATTTAATTAAATTAATTTTTTTTAATGTATTGTAATAAAAATTTATTACATCTTTCTTACAATGTTTCTAATGATATTTGAAAATCCCCGCGCTGCGCAAAAACATACGCGCATGGAAATAATTCCGACAAGTAACGTATAGGGTGTGCGGTAGTCGTTTCTGCTCACTAACAAGATGTTTCCTTAACACTATAAGAATAGCCTCCCTTGTCGTCAAGGATTCAGTTCAATTTTGTTCGCACTTTGCAAATATTCTTCCCTTTTTATTGGTTGAAGATATTTTAACTATCTTTTTTTGTAATGTGTGAAATTTATTTTTTTCTCGAACTATTGGTACCCAATACTGAACCACGATTAAAAAAATCTTGGGATGATCACGATGTTGCCAATCATTGGTAGCCAATGTTGTTTCATCATTGGCTGCCAAGAAAAAAATCGGTTTCTGAAAAGCTCGGTTATTAATTGGCTACCAAGATTGGACCATTATTGAAAACCAACGATCGGCTTCCAATAATGGTCCAATCTTGGTAGCCAATTAATAACCAAGCTTTTTAGAAACCGATTTTTTTCTTGGCAGCCAATGATGAAACAACATTGGCTACCAATGATTGGCAACATCGTGATCATCCCAAGATTTTACCAATCGCGGTCCAATATTGTGTGCCATCATTGCAACAATATTGGAACGAATGGCTCCCATTATTGGGCCATTATTAAACCAATCGTTTATTTCCCATTGGGTAGATATATGTAATTAGAACTAAAAATTTGAAAGTTAATTAAATAAAAAATAAAATATAATTAATGAAGTTTTGCTAATTCAAATTCAATATAAATGTATTTTACGTATTTATTACATCACAGCGAACAAGTGACTAAAGTTCAACATATTACATAATTTTCGTATAAATTAAAAATATTTTTTCAGTTAATGAATAAAATCATAAACTCTTTTCAAATATAAAAAAAGTAATGTGCTGTAGCAAAATAAACTACGGATTCAGATTCAGAGTAGTGATATACGTCCAAAATTCGATGTTAAATATTAATAATCTGTAATATACTTGACGAATTTTGAATTCTCTGTTTCCTCTATAGCGACCTAAATATTTAATTTTTTATGATAGTTAATAATTAACAAAGATAAATATTTATACCATTAAAGCCTAAAGTTCAAATAAATAATTTCTCACCTTCTCAGAATCGAAAGTTTCTTTTCTTTCTTCAGATATTTTACCAGAAAGAAGTACAATAGATACATTTAAACCAAATATATTATCCAATTGTTCAATAATACCAGGAATCGATAAGAAAGGTACACTACTTTCGTCTTCAGTTGTACAGTTTGCAATTCCAGTTACTGGTCCTAAAAGAATCAAAAGTCCTGGGAATGTTTTTTCTGACTTTTCTTGAAAAATTTTCGTCAAATATATTTCTCTCATCAAAAGATCATTCACATTTTCCTCTATATTTTTACAAGCAGAAAAAATAAAAAAACCTCGTAAATTAGAACAAAATTGTTTAGATTCTTCAAATGCGTATTTTGTAATTAAGTGTTTTGAACTGGAAGATCTACTTGATAAGTTTTCTATACGTTGAAGATCAAAGATGGCATCTATTGTACCATATTTACGAGCCTCCTTAAATAGTTCAATCATACTTTGTTGATGGAAAAGATCTAATTCTGCGTGAACTGCTACCGAGACTCCATATGACCTCCACAAATTTATTCTCTGATTAATATAGGCTGTTGTATTCTTTGACTCAGAAACTATATGAATATTCTTAGCACCTCTAGTAACTAAAAATTCAACTAGTTCCAGTCCAAAATCACTAAAACCTTCAATTATTAAATAAGATCCATCACTTTTACATATAAAACGAGATATTGCCAAGATTTCGTTACCTCCATCGTCTGGTTGTATTTTAACAATGATCTAAAAAATACAAAGCAGAAATTATTGAAATAAAATTATTACGAAAACACGTCATAAAGAAATAGAAAAGAAATAATAATAAATTTACTTTTTCGAAGACAGTTTTTGAAGCTCCGTCAATGAAAGCTTTTGTTAACATTTCTCTTGAGTAGACACGTTTAGGCAGTGGCTTTACAATTCCTGTTTCAATTCCATTAACCATCATTTGTGATAATTTTCTTTTTGTTGTCAGGTCAAGTCTTATTATATTAGATGGAATTATTGAGGATATTGACACACTTTCTTCAAAAAATAGTATGCCAACAGATTTAGTCAAAGAATCGTGTAAATTTCCAATGACAATAAATTTCCCTCCTCTTTTTATCAACTGAGAACAATTCCGTATTTCACTTAAATCATTTCCATTATATATCACTATCTTTAAAGCTCTTACTCCTGTTCTTGACAAGGTTCTCTCAACGAAACTTCCTGATGTGCTTATAAGGCAGTTTTTGGGAATATGTGGATAGTTATTTTCTAGAAACCTTTTGGCGTTAGAATTAGCGTATCCTACGAATACGTGCGATTTAATATTTGCTGCTAGATTAAGAACAGCTTGTCCTATTGAACAACAGCCATCGTAGACAAAAACTGAGTGTTTGCTTTTTAATTCTCCTTTTATAACAACAGAGAGATAAGCAATAGTATACACTAAAGGTACAGTTACAGCATCTTCTAAAGACCAATTATCAGGTACTTTCCATATATAATCAGCGTCAGATGAAATAGAGTTTGAAAATGATCCATCTGAAGAAATCCCCATAACTTTATTGCCTCTAAAATCAATTCCAGAATATTCTTGACCAAATAATTTAGTTTCAAGTCTCTGTTTCCCTGGGTCTTCTAATGCTACTTGTGTAGTTGCTAAGAAAATATCTTGTTGATTGACTGTAGAGTACTCAACTTTGATTGTGTTTTTATCATTTTTAGCTAATCCTTCAACCCATGAGATTGATTCTAGATCAGAACCGTTTTGCTGCCTAGCTATCCAATTAGAGACATGTCGACAATTTGAAGAAATTGGGAAATGTTGATAAATACCCCAAATTTTACCTGGTAAAAGAACATTCAACTTCATATTGAGATTCATATGAGAACGGAAGAAAGAATCATCTATGGAGAATTTAGACACGCTAGGATCTTGAATGTCTACAATTTGAATTTTATTTAATTTTTGTTCTTTGTGAAGAACATCAAGGATCTTAGAAAGATTGGAGCACTCTTTAGATTTAATTGCAATAATCAGCCTATCACAATCTTCTGAATTAAGTTTTGTTTCAACTTGAGTAGACCAATCTTCTTCATCATTGATTTCTAGAACAACCATTTTTTTGGCTGTTTGTATTCGACGAAAGAGCAATACAACTTGATTATTGGAAGAATATTTTCTCAGAACAAGACCTAATCCTGCAGAGTCTGCAATTGACAAAATTGAAGTTTCATTTTTCGGTTCTGCTAAAGTTAATATAAATGATCCGTCTATTATGTGACTCAAGAGGTCTTTCAGTGTTTGTTGTTCAACATTAAATAGCACTAAAAGCGCAATGTCACTAAATTCTGATTTGTTCATCAATATTTCAGAAGAAGCCACTACTTCGACTTTAAACTTTTTAATGTCTTGACGAGATTCTATAACGTTCTGGAACACATTATTTACTTCTTCAACATCATCAGTTTTATTGTGAATGATTCGAATTAAATTTGATCTTTCCGAATTATCATTCAGAAATTGATATGTTGTTCTTAAAATCTCTAATAAACTAGATGATGCCCCATCCGTACAAGGAACAATGTAGAGTTTCTCAGCAACTGTGCCATTTTTTCTGGATTGATTCAGAATAAATTTAAGTTCAATTCCTTCCATTTGTATACCACCTGCTGTCACAGTTTTCCCTTTTTTAGAAACCGTCACAGGAATTTCTGAATATTAAAAATATGTCAATAAAAATTGGAACATATTTAAACTTAGCTTATAAGTTATTTATATATTTTTTTACTATTACTGTATAAAACTGAAATATATTAATTACTATATTTACCGCTTGATTTATTTAAAGCTTCTTTCTGAAGTTTCATGTTGATTACTATTCTTCTAATTTTAATTGGCACTTGTGCTTTTCTAACTTTATTTCCTAGGACATACATCTGAATCATTCCTTCCAAAAAAGTTGTCCAATCATTTTTCCACATTAAAGTCCCATTGGTTGCATTAGCTGATGCTTTACAGATAGTTCTAAACGGACCTGAATATTGTAAACCTCTATTCTGTAGATCCGTGTAAACATCACTTATATTTATATCCTGATAGTCATTATCTGCATTTTTAGATACTGGACTAAATTCCTCTTCAGAGGTATTACTCGCTTGTACAATCCCAGAGCATAGTAAAATCTTATTATTGCTTACTTCAAAATAGCCAGTAGCTAGAAAAAGTGAGAAATTTGCATACAAATATAGATGTCCATAATATAAATGATACACTTAAGGTATATATCTACTTCAATACTTTGAAAGATATACCTTAAAAACCCTACCATTAAAAAATTGAAAAAATAAAAAACCGAACTTCTTGTACGAAGATGAAAGTAATAATTTAACATGCAGCTTCCTTTTTAAAACATGGATTGTATACCTCTTAGAACCATTACCACCAATGTGATACTTTCATCTTCTCTGATTTCTACATCATGCTTGTGAATTTTTACATCATTGTAAACTACTGAAAATTCAGAATTATTTTTTAACAATTTTAAAACTTTCCAAACAAGATTTAAGTATACAGAAGTATGAACAATTATTTTGTCATTAACCCTGGCATGCTTCAAATACTTCCATTCATCTTCCTTTAGATTTATTATAAAATTAATCTCTCCATCATGAAGGTTCTTTTCTTGCGTATAAAATTTAGTGTACCTGTTGATAAATAAAAAAAAACTTTTTTGTCTTTGATCACTTTCCATGATAGCAAAATCTTTAAAATATATAAAATCAATAAATTCTATAATGATGATTAAATAAATTTCTAATATTAATTCAAAAAATTAATTGCATACTATTGGTCTTTATTTTGAAAAGTTGGTATTTTTACCATTTGATTGAATGATCCCATTTGATTAAAGATGAAATTGACGGTGTTCCACGTGAAACTGGATAGGTAATCTTTGGATAAAGATTGGACATATTTATATTGCAGCCAGCAATGTATATTTTCCCTAAGGCATCAAAAAGGAATGAAACATTGTCGGGGTGATTTTTTTTAGTTAATGGTATTTTAGAGACATTTTCTGGCAATGATTTTTTTACTATTGCCTGCAAAAGACCATGAGGTGCTATTTCTATAACAATTGCATTCGATGGAATATTTTTTGCTGTTTCCGCAAATAGGACAGGACTCAAAAGATTATTTGTGTGATATTCTGCAGATGATAATCGAGCTCTAACAGAATTCCACTCTTTGCGTGGAACTGAACTGCTTAACCAACGTTTACTTCGAGCTTTTGGATTAGGTATCACTAGTTGGAGGTATTTTCTTAATTTTTCACCTGCCGGTGCAATGTATCGGCTATGATATGCAATATTACTAACGGCTACTTCTTTAGCAAAAATATTCTTCTCCTGAAAAATAGATTATGTTTCTTTAAATCTTTAAAAATTTATTTCGTTTAGATAATGTAACACAAAAATTAATTAAAAATTTTTCTAACTGTCAAATATGCGACGAATGCTTTCATGGAATCAGCGGGACCACTGATGGTAGAGCTGTTTTCGCTGTTATGACAAGCTACGTCAATATCAGGTGGACAAAGCTTTTTAATTTCTTCATATCCAAGACCAACTGCTGCCATGGAACCTTTAGGCATGTCTGTCTCTACTGATGCCAGTCCTCTATAGTAGGCAGAAAGAATCATTTGCTCTGCTGTAAAACAATTATCAGCATAGGCACAACCTAATTCTCCCACTGAATGTCCAATTAAAAAATCTGGCTTCAACCCGATTGCACTTAAGATATCTACTAAACCAATCTGAAAGAGTATTACTATTACATAATTTGTAATGTCTATTTTTATTAATTACACTTGTCATTCGTTCATTTTTAAAATAGATTTCAGACAATCTAAATGAATAAAAGTTTTATCGTAGCTCTCTAAAACAATTTCAGTATTATAATCGTTGATGCTCTATTTACCTGAATGGCAGCAATTCCAACGAATGAATTAACAATGTTATCAAACATTTTTGAATCCTCCTCTGTAATAATACGCACTATGTCGATACCATGAGGTTGTAAGACTTTATTACATTTACTTATGGCTTCCGCAAAAACAGGTATATGCAATAAATCTTTTCCTATTACAAAATTTAATAATTGACATTAAATTTTTAATGACATAATTTTTACACATAGATAACGTTGATTAGTTCTTAGACTATCTTACCCATTCCCACCCATTGAGACCCCATGCCGGAAAACATGTACCAAATTTCTCTCTTAAAATCCATATGTAATTGAATCTCTCGAATTTTATTTTTTGGTAATCCTTTAGGAGGGAGCAATGTAAATCCTCTGTACATGTGAGCTGGTATTTCAGTTTTAAATACATCGTACATAAGCTGAAGCATTTCTACATCAATGGGTCTACCTTCTAGCTGTAAGATGTATTAAATTATATTTTAACGAATTTTACCAGCTTAAGTTTCACAAGACAGTATAAGATTTACATTGTTAAAAAATATACAAATTTTTAAAGATTTAAAAATAAAATTTTATATAATTTGAATATTAACTTCGGTCAGCATGAAATCCACAGCTTCTTCAGTACGTCCAGAAATTGTAACTAATCTTGAAAGATTATCGTCAGGTCTTCCTTCATTTTTCTTTTGTTTTTTAAAATCTTTTAATATGACATTAGCAGCAGAACCAGTTAGACTAAGACAATTAACCACTGCATAGTCTCCAGTCCAAGGAGTCAATTCTGTTACAACTTTACAACGCCCTTCTGTTAGAGCTGGAATTCTGTCAGAAGATTGTTTAAAATGAAGGTTTGGAGGAATGTATCCAGACTCCATTGCTGTAATTACCTACGAAAAATTCATGTTCATTTTTCGATACTGTACGAAAACAAAAGTATGGTTCTAATATCTATAAAAATATTAAAAACCTTAATAATTCCATTTATTGGATTTGCTGCTGAACATGATCCAATATTAGATTTAACAGATCCAATAAGAAGAGGTGATTTTCTTCCTTCATTGTAAACATTATCAATGGCTTGTACCTCTTCAGCATCAACATCTTTAATGCCTGAGCCATCGGCTTCTACATATGAAATATCTTTTCCCTTAAGACCACACTCTGACAATACCGTTTGCATAAGACCAGCTTGAAAATTGTGGGTTGCATAGAAAAAGGAATTGTCATTGTTGGCATCTCCATAATTCATGCGGGCATTTTGTATTTCTGCATAAATTCGTTTTGCGTTACGAGCCTTTTGAAGAAAAATGACTGCAATGCATTCACTGCGAGTGTAACCATCTGCTGCATTATCAAATGATTTTGTTATGCCATCGGGTGATAAAAGTCCTGCAATAGAAAAATATATTTTTTATAAATATGAATATATGATCCGATTATCAACACAGATCGATTATGTAAGTTAATAACTGACGAACTGACCTAACAAGAACATTTGTAAAGACATGTTTGGTAGCAGAACAATATTACCAACACCAATAACAGCGTTTTCAGCTCGTCCATCTTTTATCGCTCTATATCCTTCCTGTAATGCAGTGGCACCCCCACAACAGCTAGAATCAATGGTACTACTTGGTCCAGTAAAGTCGAAGAAAAATGAAATACGATTTGCCAACAAAGCACGACTTACACCCTGCAGACCAAAGGAACTTTGCTAAAAAAAATATAGAAATTATATTAAAGACATGTACTTTCTTGAATAACTATAATAATTAACTCTATTTCTACCTAGAGGATTATTATTCAATTCTTCAAACCAAAGTCGTTGGCTTGAAATCCTTACTTGATTCAAATAAATTTGAACAACAATTTTAAAATATTTGACTTTAAATCTTACGTTTTTTCGATCAGTGAGAAAATCTCTTTCCGACTCAATAAAAGTGCTTCCAGTGAAAACTGCAGATTTACTTCCTTTTAATTCTCTTGGATTAATTCCAGAATCTACAATTGCTTCATATGCAGTTTCTATTAATATTCTATACATTGGGTCCATATGACTGGCCAATTTTCCATGAATTCCAAAAAAAAGAGAGTCAAATTTATCTACCTCTTTCATAATGCCGATTCGCGATGGAATTTGAGGGTTCTCTGTAAATTATAAATTTTGAAACGAATGTTATTAAAAAAAATATGTAGAATGTTTAGAACAAAAACTGAAGTACAATATATTGATATTTAATAATTTAAGCAAATTTCATACCATATTCCCAACGAGCATTACTATCAGTAACGCAATCGGCTTGATTTAAAAGATTCTTCTGCAATTCCTTAATATTTTCACAATTTGGGAACTTTCCTGCTATCCCTGATATCACTATTTCATCTCCCGTCATTTTTGGATCCATTTTTTTAATAATTATTTCTTCTCCTATATTTTTTCTATTATTTAATTAATAAGGTACACTTTTAGTAAATATAGATTTTTAAATTAGATAAGAAATTAAATTTTCTACGTAAATTTTTATTTTTTATTTCTAAGCAGACGTACGTTTGAAATAAAGGTAAATTCTAAAATGAATGTCGTTTTATATTCGCAGACCCAGTTAAATTATGCATTTAAATATCATATACTATTGAGTAGATTCATTTACCTACATTTACATAAAATCAAACATTTTAACGAATATAATTAATAATAATTTAACTTTTCTTTTAATTCTCATTGTTTTCAGAATCAACGCTTAAATGCATTCTTATTCGTGGTATTTTCAAAATAGCAATAAATTTACATTATTAAATCTTTCCAAAATTGCCTAAAGATCAAAGTTCAAAACTGTTCCATTAAAATATACATAAAAGAAGGAAAAGAAGCAGACGCAAAGCGCCTACATATAGGGCTTTGTAGCTTTTTAAATTCAGATCAAAAGTTATATCTATACATAATAAATAATTTATAATTACATTATTTTTGAACTAATTTCGCTCCCATGTTATCAGTTTTTTACTAAAAATTTATTCATAATTTAATTTCTATAAATAAGTTCTCCAAGCAGTAAATTACTTATCGTCATTGGAGCTTTCCATACGTATATACGTTTATATTAACTTACGGTTTGTACCGCTAAATCGAAACGGTAGAGGTTTTTGGGGCCTACTAAGGTAACGTTTATTAACACGGTAACGTTTGCTATGGTGATGGTTCCTATGGAAATGGTTGCTATGGTAATGGTTGTCATGGAAATGGTTGCTATGGTGACGGTTGCCATGGAAACGGTTGTCATGGTGACAGTTGCCATGGAATCGTTTGCTATGGTAACTGTTACCATGGCAACTATACGAGTGTATGACGGACGGACGGACGCCAACTCGAAATTATAAGACTTTCAGCCCTGAGCCACGAAACCCTAGAAAGGTTAAAATCTTCAAAAATTCAAAACTTTCTAATAATGCATTCTGCTAAACATTATAAATGTTTATATCTAGTAATATCAACGAGTGTTAAGAAGACTAATAATATTCAGGTTTGACGTTGTAAACTTCAGATCAATTCTTAAATTAATGTTACTAATTATTAATTTTTCATAATCCACATTGCAAGATGCTGTATTTACTAATTTTTCAATTCACAGTACTTTAAGATTAAAAAAAAGAAAACTTTTTTAATAATATTTTTTAATTATTATTCTTACTAATAAATAACTTTTTAAAAGTTTTCTTAAATAAAAATAAAATTATTATTTAGGTATGTCAATAATATTTAATAAGTTTACAATAAAATTGAATTAATTTTATATTTATTTGTATTTAAAATTAAGATTAAAAAGGTTAATCACATGAAATAGGACATAATAACTAAATGTATCACTTCAGATTAATAAAGAAAACTCAATATATATTTCATAATATTTATTATACGGAAACGAATAAACGACTAATGCTTAAAATGTGCAGAATGAAATTTTATTTAAAGACACTGCAGTCATTTGTATGATAAATTCCTGATCATAAATAATTTTAATATTTATTTTTTCTGAGTTTTGAAATTTAGATGACCCTCTCATTGATTAAACTGTTGTTAATATATTTGTCGAATTTTTCCCTCTCCGTTTCGTCAATGGTGACCTGTATATTTGATTTAAATTTATAACAGTTAATAATTAAATTAAATTATAACACCCATAATTTTAGATATCAAAGTTAAATTGAATAATTTCTCACCTTCTTAGAATCGAAAGTTTCTTTTCTTTCTTCGGATATTTTACCAGAAATAAGTACAATAGATACATTTAATCCAAATATATTATCCAATTGTTCCATGATACCCGGAATTGATATGAAAGGTACACTACTTTCGTTTTCAGTTGTACAGTTTGCAATTCCAGTTACTGGTCCTAAAAGAATCAAAAGTCCTGGGAATGTTTTTTCTGACTTTTCTTGAAAAATTTTCGTCAAATATATTTCTCTCATCAAAAGATCATTCACATTTTCCTCTATATTTTTACAAGCAGAAAAAATAAAAAAACCTCGTAAATTAGAACAAAATTGTTTAGATTCTTCAAATGCGTATTTTGTAATTAAGTGTTTTGAACTGGAAGATCTACTTGATAAGTGTTCTATACGTTGAAGATCAAAGATGGCATCTATTGTACCATATTTACGAGCCTCCTTAAATAGTTCAATCATACTTTGTTGATGGAAAAGATCTAATTCTGCGTGAACTGCTACCGAGACTCCATATGACCTCCACAAATTTATTCTCTGATTAATATAGGCTGTTGTATTCTTTGACTCAGAAACTATATGAATATTCTTAGCACCTCTAGTAACTAAAAATTCAACTAGTTCCAGTCCAAAATCACTAAAACCTTCAATTATTAAATAAGATCCATCACTTTTACATATAAAACGAGATATTGCCAAGATTTCGTTACCTCCATCGTCTGGTTGTATTTTAACAATGATCTAAAAAATACAAAGCAGAAATTATTGAAATAAAATTATTACGAAAACACGTCATAAAGAAATAGAAAAGAAATAATAATAAATTTACTTTTTCGAAGACAGTTTTTGAAGCTCCGTCAATGAAAGCTTTTGTTAACATTTCTCTTGAGTAGACACGTTTAGGCAGTGGCTTTACAATTCCTGTTTCAATTCCATTAACCATCATTTGTGATAATTTTCTTTTTGTTGTTAGGTCAAGACTTATTATATTAGATGGAATTATTGAGGATATTGACACACTTTCTGCAAAAAATAGTATGCCAACAGATTTAGTCAACGAATCGTGTAAATTTCCAATGACAATAAATTTCCCTCCTCTTTTTATCAACTGAGAACAATTCCGTATTTCACTTAAATCATTTCCATTATATATCACTAACTTTAAAGCTCTTACTCCTGTTCGTGACAAGATTCTCTCAACGAAACTTCCTGATGTGCTTATAAGGCAATTTTTGGGAATATGTGGATAGTTATTTTCTAGAAACTTTTTGGCGTTAGAATTAGCGTATCCTACGAATACGTGCGATTTAATATTTAATGCTAGATTAATAATAGCTTGTCCTATTGAACAACAGCCATCGTAGACAAAAACTGAGTGTTTGCTTTTTAATTCTCCTTTTATAACAACAGAGTGATAAGCAGTAGTATAAGCTAAAGGTACAGTTACAGCATCTTCTAAAGACCAATTATCAGGTACTTTCCATATGTAATCAGCGTCAGATGAAATGGAGTTTGAAAATGATCCATTTGAAGAAATCCCCATAACTTTATTGCCTCTAAAATCAATTCCAGAAGTTCAATTCAATTCAATTCTTGAAGTTTCATGTTAATAACTATTCTTCTAATTTTAATTGGCACTTGTGCTTTTCTAACTTTATTTCCTAGAACATACATCTGAATCATTCCTTCCAAAAAAGTTGTCCAATCATATTTCCATATTAAAGTTCCATTGGTTGCATTAGCTGATGCTTTACAGATAGTTCTAAAAGGACCTGAATATTGTAAACCTCTATTCTGTAGATCAGTGTAAACGTCACTTTCATTTAAATCCTGATAATCATTATCAGAATTTTTAGGAAGTGGGTTGAATTTCTGCTCAGAGATATCACTTGCTTGTATAATACCAGAGCATAATAAAATCTTATTATTGCTTATTTCAAAGTAGCCAGTTCCTAAAAACAGTAAGAAATTTTCACAAAAAGGTATATTCTCATGAAATATACGTAAATATATGTTAAATAATAATTTAACATACAACTTTCTTTTATGAAATAAGGCATGTATACCTTTTAGAACCATTACCACCAATGTGATACTTTCATCTTCCATAATTTCTACGTGCTGTTTGTGAATTTGTACATCGTGGTAATGTACTAAGAATTCATAATTATTTTTCATCAATTTTAAAACTTCCCAAGCAAGGATTAGATAAAGAGAAGTGGGAATAACTATTTTATCATTAATCCTGGCATGCTTCAAATACTTCCATTTCTCTTCCTTTAGATTTATTATAAATTTAATCTCTCCTTCATGGAGGTCTTTTCTTCGTTTAGAAAAATTAATGGACCTATTATTGAGTAAATATTAAGTTTTGAAAAAAACAAATCATTTAAAATTTATAAAACTGCTTTTACCATTTAGCTGAATGATCCCATTGGATTAAAGATGAAATTGAAGGTGTTCCTTGTGACACTGGATAGCTGATCTTTGGATAAAGATTGGACACATTTATATTGCAGCCAGCATTGTATATTTTTCCTAATGCACCAAAAAAGAATGAAACATTTTCGGGGTGATTCTTTTTGGTTAATGGTATATTAATGACATTTTCTGGCAATGACTTTTTGACTATTGCCTGCAAAAGACCATGAGGTGCTATTTCTATAACAATTGCATTAGATGGAATACTTTTTGCTGTTTCCGCAAATAGGACAGGACTCAAAAGATTATTTGTGTGATACTCTGCAGATGATAATCGAGCTCTAACAGAATTCCACTCTTTGCGTGGAACAGAGCTACTTTTCCATCGCACACTTCGAGGTTTTGGATCAAGTATTACTTTTTGAAGATATTTTCTTAATTTTTCACCTGCCGGAGAAATGTATCGGCTATGGTATGCTATATTACTAACGGCCACTTCTTTAGCAAAAATATTCTTTTCCTGGAAAACAAATTATGTTTTCTTAAATCTTGAAAAAATTCACTGATTGAGAAAATGTGACACAAAAATTAATTAAAAATTTTTCTAACTGTCAAATATGCAACGAATGCTCTCATGGATTCTGCGGGTCCACTAATGGTAGAACTATTTTGGCTGTTATATGACAAGCAACGTCAATATCAGGTGGACAAAGCTTTTTAATTTCTTCATATCCAAGACCAACTGCTGCCATGGAACCTTTAGGCATGTCTGTCTCTACTGATGCCAGTCCTCTATAATAGGCAGAAAGAATCATTTGCTCTGCTGTAAAACAATTATCAGCATAGGCACAACCTAATTCTCCCACTGAATGTCCAATTAAAAAATCTGGCTTCAACCCGATTGCACTTAAGATATCTACTAAACCAATCTGAAACAGTATTACTATTACATAATTTGTAATGTCTAGTTTTATTAATTACATTTGTCATTCGTTTATTTTTTAAATAGATTTCAGACAATCTAAATGAATAAAAGTTTTATAGTAGCTCTCTAAAACAATTTCAGTATTAAAATCGTTGTTGCTCTATTTACCTGAATGGCAGCAATTCCAACGAATGAATTAACAATGTTATCAAACATTTTTGAATCCTCTTCTGTAATAATACGCACTATGTCGATACCATGAGGTTGTAAGACTTTATTACATTTACTTATGGCTTCCGCAAAAACAGGTATATGCAATAAATCTTTTCCTATTACAATATTTAATAATTGACATTAAATTTTGAATGGCATTATTTTTACACATAAATGATGTTGATTAGTTCTTTGACGTATCTTACCCATTCCCACCCATTGAGACCCCATGCCGGAAAACATGTACCAAATTTCTTTCTTAAAACAACTGTTTAATTGAATCTCTCGCACTTTAGTTTTTGGTATTCCTATAGAAGGAAGCAGTGTATATCCTCGATACAAATGAGCTGGAATGTCTGTATCAAATAGATCGTACACAAGCTGAAGCATTTCTACATCAACAGGTTTGCTTTCTAGCTGTAAGATATGTTAAATTATTATATTATGAAGAATTTTAACACATCAAGATTCTAAAGGAAACTGAAGATTTACATTATTAAAAAATTAATCACTAAATCAGGCTCAATCAGCAGTACTAAATCATTTATTTCAAATTTAGTGATGAATTTTTCTCTGTTAATGTATATTTTTTTAATTCAATATTAACTTCGGTCAGCATGAAGTCCACAGCTTCTTCAGTACATCCAGAGATTGTGACTAATCGTGAAAGATTATCATCAGGTCTTCCTTCATTTTTCTTTTGTTTTTTAAAATCTTTTAATATAACATTAGCAGCAGAACCAGTTAGACCAAGACTATTAACCACTGCATAGTCTCCATTCCAAGGAGTCAATTCTGTTACAACTTTACACCGCCCTTCTGTTAGAGCAGGAATTTTGTCAGAAGATTGTTTAAAATGAAGATTTGGAGGAATGTATCCAAACTCCATTGCTGTAATTATCTACGAAATTCAGTGGAGTCAGGTTTTATTTGAATAGTTTGATACCCATTTAAATGGAACAGGTATCTTCTAATATCAAATCACCTTAATAATTCCACTGAGTGGATTTGCTGCTCCACATGATCCAATGTTCGATTTGACAGATCCAATAAAAAGAGATGATGTGCGTTCTTCATTGTAGACATCATCAATGGCTTTTACCTCTTCAGCATCAACATCTTTAATGCCTGAACCATCGGCTTCTACATATGAAATATCGTTTCCCTTAAGACCACAATCTGATAAGGCTGTTTTCATAAGGCTCGCTTGAAAATTGTGGGTTGCATAGAAAAACGAATGCTTATATCATTGACATTCCCATAACTCATTCGGACATTTTTTATTTCTGCATAAATGCGTTTTGCGTTACGAGCCTTTTGAAGGAAAAGGACTACAAGACCTTCACTGCGAGTGTAACCATCTGCTGCATTATCAAATGATTTTGTTATGCCATCAGGTGATAGAAGTCCTGCAATAGAGAGATATATTTTTTATAAATATAAATATATGATATTGTAATAAATATGGAGCTCATATTATCAACATAGATCGATTTTGTGACTGAATCACTGACGTTGCAATAAATTTGAATTTAATAATTACCTAGCAATAACATTTGTAAAGACATGTTCGGTTGCAGAACCACATTACCGGCACCAATAACAGCGTTTTCAACTCTTCCATCTTTTATTGCTCTAAAACCTTCCTGTAATGCAGTGGCACCTCCGCAACAGCTAGAATCGATGTTCATACTCGGTCCTCTAAAGTCGAAGAAAAACGAAATACGATTGGCCAACATATTACGACTGACACCCTGTAGACTCTTAAAAATAAAAAATTCTACTCTTACGTCCTTTTTTTCAACAAAGAAAGTATTTTCCGACTCAATAAAAGTGCTTCCAGTAAAAACGCCAGATTTACTTCCTCTTATTTTTCTTGGATTAATTCCTGAATCTGCGATTGCTTCATATGTAGCTTCTATTAACATTCTATACATTGGGTCCATATAATTGACTAATTTTCCATTAATTCCAAAAAAAAGAGAATCAAATGAATCTATCTTTTTTATAAAACCAATTCGCGGTGGAAGTTGAGAATTCCCTATAGATTATAAAATTTAAAATTATTATTATTATATATTTTAACGACAAGAGGCCATTTAAACAAAACAAACAAAAAATTAAATTATAAATTTAAGCAAATTTCATACCATATTCCCAACGAGCATTACTATCAGTAACGCAATCAGTTCGATTTAAAAGATTCTTCTGCAATTCTTTAATATTTTCACTATTTGGAAACTTTCCTGCTATACCCGATATCACTATTTCATCTCCCGTCATTTCTGGGTTCATTCTTAAATTATTTTTACCTTCTTTCTGTATTTTATTTAAAGAATCGGATGATATATAAACGGAAATAAACTATTTTTCTATTATTTAATTAATATGGTTTAATAAAACTTTTAGAAAATATAACTTTTTAAGGTAGATTAAAATTTAAATTCTACGTGAAATTTAATTTTTTATTTCTAAGCACACGTACGTTCGATGAAGAGGTAAAGTGTAAAATAAGTGTCATTTTACAGTCGCAGGCTTAGTTGAATGACTTATTCAAATATGATGTATCATTAACAAAATTCATTAACCCACATGTAAATGAAATGAAATATTTTAATGAACATAATTTCTACTTCTTATATACTTTATTTTAGAAATTAACATTGTTTCCAGGATCAAAGTTTAAATACATATTTATTGGGATTTTTTTTAAAAAAATGAAATAAATTTACATTTCAATCTTGTGTACATTGTTTGCAGATCAAAGTTCAAATTAGTTTTTTTTTAAAAACCTGCTTTACAATGTTAAACTCTGAAACAGTTCTTATCTCTAACTTTGTAATTAGTAAAAAATTCCACTTATTCAAATTAGTAGCAATTTTCTCTAATTATTAGTAAAATATTACTATTTGATATGTAGTTCCAATTTGCTTTTACTAAAATTTTAGTGAAAAATGACTAAAAATTAGGAAATAATTTCATTAATTTAAATTTAAAGAATAAATATTAACATAAGCTTACAACTAGCTTGCACCGCAAACTTGCCGCAAACTTATTGGTAGATATACATACTATCTGGGTATCGGAATTAGTTTAAAATTTCTTACCTATCAACCAGATGTACCTAATTTGATCTAAATTAATTTTAAAAAAAAATTAAAAAACTTTTTATACAAAATGGTAAAAAAATACACAAAAATTGAAAATTTATTTTAAATCTGGTACTAGCGAACTCTGACAAACATAACTGTAATTTTCTCATAAACGTTTTCGGCTCACTTACAAATGGTAAGATAATGTCAGAAACATAAAGAATACTTTTTTATCATACCTTGAAAACATATTGCTTTATGAAAAAGAAGATTTCTATGTTATCAAGTATTGATAAGCTTCAAACTGTTGGAAAGGTAGAACACTATTTATCATTTGTAGGTATTATTGTACTGTATGGTAAAACATATTCAATACCAACTGTTGGTAAAGCAAAACAGATCCCATTCTTACCGAGGAAAATTGAACTTTCAAATACAAGAATAAAATAATTCACAGTTTTTAATTTTAATCAACAAAATTACATTTAATTTAAATTTTTCAAAATTACAAGAAAAAAATTTATAATAGACAATGGACTATGGATAAAAAGACAATATTTATGTAGTCAGATAAATATATTTTATTTACTTTCGTCAATATACAAATTCTCCAATATTAAGGAACTACTTACTCAATCAATGACTTAATTAATGATAAACATTTCTCATATCACGAATCATTAGTTTGGTATTGAGTATCAAGCACTTTTCCCAAAACTATCCTACCAACATCAGAAATTGGTCCTAACGACACAATTTTTATAGGCTATAGAATTTTAAAGACTCTTTTTTTAAATAACAGATGTTTACAAAAATACTTCAAGATCATGCACTTAATTCATATAAGATATTATAGTTTTCATATTTTTTATTTGAATCCTTAAAAATTTGACGCCAAATCAAGATTTAATTTTAAATTGTATTTTTCAATTTTTTATAATATTTTACTATGTAATCCCATACGAAAAAATATTAATTTGTAAAATTGTTTAAACGAAAAAGACAATCGAAAAATTTTTCTTAAAATTTTTCAGATAAAGCAACTAAGAAAATTAATGTAGAAAAATGTTATAAATAAATTTTTTGGCTGATTTATATCAATTTATCAATTTTTTTCATAATTTATTTAAACAATTTTTTTATTCTCTTATAATATTTTTTCACAAGAATGACAAAACAAAGAATAAGTTGATTCTTGAATCTATTAAGTTATTTTTTTAATCAGTTTGGAGTCCAGCCTTTAACAGTTTACCGACATAAAGCAGAAGAACTGTTTTTATAACAATATACATTTTCAATTATTTTTATATTATAGAATATATTTACAAAACAACGACATCTCTCTCGATAAAAGCTTGAATACATCGGGCGGGTACTTTTTTTTCAAAAAAGTATTATACTTATGGCTACAACGCTTATAGAGAACATTTTTAAGAAACTTTTCGTATTTTAACGAATAACAAGAAATCTTGAATCAGTAAAATTCTATTTTCTTCTTTTATACCACATTTAAAATTCGAAAATTTATTCTATTGAATTGTTCAAAATATTTTCTACACACAATGTTACAATCAGAACAATTTGCATTATCATCAGAAAAGTCTTTTATATATTATAAAGAAAAAGATAATACTGTTTTATTCAGGAAAAAATATATTATTAAATTTAGAATTTCAGAAAAATGTGTAATCGATAAATTCTGTCTCTTGTTCGTCACAAATGTGATTAAAAATTGTTCATAAAAATTTAAATTTCTTGAATTTTATTTATTTTTTTTTATTTATTAAATAAATTTTTTTTTTTTGTTTTTGTAATTTCGTCGACAATATGCCGCAAAGCGTTGCATTGACACTCGTTATGCTTTTCCTAATGTACATTGTTTTCAGAGAGCATTAACAACCGATAAGGATCGTGTTAACTAGACAGTTACTTTCGTGTCGTAAAATCATTAGAAAAAAATGTATTTGTCTAAAAAGAGAGAGAGAGAAAGAGACTCTTATCGGTTCGACCTGTTTCGCACACACAACTTCCATCTCATACAAATACAATCGAGGATTTGGCCATTTTTATTCTATCTACTTATACACTACACATTTTATTGTTCTCGTGGCTCTTATTTCGACTGTCTTGAGTTTCACCCACAACAAGTCTTTCTAAAATACATCTAATACTTTTAAATATAATACATACAAATTTTCAGTAGGTTTTTTTTTTAATATTCGAATCTTTTTTACACAATATATCTTTTTTTTTTTCTTTGCAAGGCAGAAAAACATTTGTATGGGAAACAAATTTCTCATCAAAATAAATCTCTTTATTTTCTAAAATACTCTTCAACTTTTCATATCAGGGATATCCAAATTTTTTAAGAATAAATATTTCTTTTATATTATCAATTTCTCTTTTGAAATAATCTAAAATATAAGAGAATATTTTCAAGAATTCAATTTAGAATTTACAGTTGCGGAAAAAGATCTCTGGTATAAATTATCTTTTCGTGCATAACTCGAGAAATAAAATCACTGATTACTCAACTAAGATCGTTAGTCCACAAGTAATAAAGTATACTGTTTCTGAAAAAAAATATATATATGTATCTAATCAGCTGAACATCCGTTAGAGTTATATGGCACTCTGTTGTTTTACAAGTATAGAAATTCGTGTGAAATTTGTTTCACCTTTCTTATAATCATTGTATTGTTCCTTCCCTCAATGCAAAAATCCATTCTGCATTCCAAGGAAATACGGTCGAGTCATGTGGGTGCGATTGATATCACACATAAGAAAGTGTTTTTCAGCCTTGCAAAGAAAGTCACCATATTGGATTTGGGACATGATGAAAGTGTTGGAAGACCACATCGCGATGGTCAGCTTAATTTGAACATATATATATACACAAGTAGCACGGTCTTCACGCTTTTTAGTTTTATCTTTCGTGTGAATGTGACACTGATCTTTTAAATTCATCATTTTTTTTTTCAATTATCTCCACTCGTTTATAATACTAATAATAATGACTGACAAAAAAAAATAGAACTCTTCCACCTCCTCATATTTTATACTTTTTAAAACAACACTTTTTCTTTATGAAGTCCTCTTAAAGTAAAAATTGTGTCCTAGCTACAAAAGAAGTCGTAAAAAAGAAATCCTCTTGACTTTTAAATTAAAATTTCTCTTTTGGAAAAAAAAAATTATTGCTTCTTCCCTTTCTCCATTTTAAAATGAAAAAGGACCCAGATTGTCGGTATATAGGGGGGTTGGAAAATAAAATTTTATACACGGAACTCCATAAAAGTCCGAAAATGGCACTTGGAGAAAATCGAACTTTTTCTAGAGTTCCATAAGTTTCATTTAGAATGTAAAAAAGGTTCAAATATACTTTTTTTTAATCTGAAAATACAAACTTCCATTGTAAAATTTGAAATATAAAAGTAAAATAATTTTTGATAAAGTATTTTAAGTTTATTCAAAAAGTCTCGTTAATTTGTAATTGGCTCGCGAAGATTTACATTTACAATCTTTTGATTTAAAATCAATTTTCTTTTCATTCGAATTTCTGTTTTAAAATCTTGAGACTTATTCTTCAGGAATTGATTCACTATATACATTTATATAAAAAAAAAAAAAAAAAAAAAAGAAAAAGAAATAGGAATCGTAGATTGCTAATCAAGGCATAAAATGCAACGATTATTATGTAGGTATTACGCCAATGAATTCACACGCGTGCAATAATGTATCAGCGATCCACAATCAACTTTATATGATTATACCGATTACTAAGCACGCATATGCAGAACATGGAGCTACATTTTAAATTCATGAATATCGCTAATCTATATATTCTTAATTTTATTTTCAAGTCAAATTAATCGATCAGTGCCAAGTATTGCAATATATTTAACATCCCATATTCATTCACGTTGAAACATTTTTACAAAAAAAAATAAAATACAATCTTAATGGAAGATATTTACAACCTGAAAAATAAGTCCTTTAGCCAAAAAAATTAAAAAAAATAGAAAATTTATACTTTAATCAAATAACAGATGACTTAAATCTTTCAACACACAAAAATTGTTCGAGAGAATTTTTCCATCAGCGTTTACGAAAGCCACTTTTAAAATTGATGAGACTTCCTACTTGAATTAGGCGGAGAACAAAAAGTCGCTAGAGATAAATTACAGAACACGAGAACATTTTAGATAAATGACGGGGATCGAAAATCATTGACCCTTTGGTTGAAAAGAAAAAAAAAAAGTTGAAAAAAAACTTTACAGTTTTTATATATTTATTTCCTATATATATATACGATTCATTTTGGAAGGTTTCAGGGAAATATCGAAGCCCTTTTTTTTAAAAGCGAATAAAGACATCGAAAGCATTTTTATGTCGTTTGAGACGCAGATTCTTTTATAATCTCGACGACTCATAAACTATTTACAGACAAAAATAGAGAAGAGTTGACTTGGTCGTTTTCTCTTTCTCTTCTCCACTTACGACCTAAACTTTTTAGAGAAACTTTCAAACAGCTGCTTGTGGGCTCAGTCACCAAAAAAAAAAAAACCCCTAAGTCCAGCTGTCTTATTCGAAAGAGTCATTTAATTTTTTTCGAAGATTTATCTAAAAGCCACCACAAATGAGAAAACAGTTTTCTTTTTATTTTCGTCACAAAGACACTTCTGTATTTTCCATCTCTTCTTTGCCATTTGAATTTAACTATATATATTTATTATTTAATAATTTTCAATTATTAAATTTTAGAAATCATTATTAATTCTAAAATTAATAATTTCATTATTAATTTAAGAATTAGTTACTTGTATTTTTTATTATCACATTGAATTATTAATTTCCTTTTTGTTATAATGTGAACGATTTCAAGAATGTAAATATTTGAAAAAATATTTCACGAATGAGAAATGTAAATATTTTTTTTTTTTTATATATAAATATGAGACGGTTTTTGTTGATATATTTTATTGTCTCTTGGACTAAAGTTTCAAGTAACATTAATTTTCTGAATCAAAGTTGGAAGTGTATTATTACTGCGGTCAGTGACCCAGTGACTATTTAGATTCTGTAATTTATTCCTCTTCCTGGATTGTTCCAATACACTGCCTGCACACCTGGTTTGTTCAACAGGATATTGTAAGTTGATTACAAGGGGCAAGAACCCACCCTGAATTATCAGCAATCTTAATAATAGTAATCTTTTAAGATTTTTCTAAGGCATTCTATATAATATATACATATATATATAAAAATTCATTATCTGTTTTATTTCTTATATATAATAATACGAGATATAATATTCTATATTTATTTATCTATATTTCATCTAATCAGTTCCCGAAATAAATTTTCTTTTATTTTTTTTTTGAAAAATATGACCTACTTTTTATTCGAACAGTTTGAAAAATAATTTTCAATAATTATTATTTCATCAGATGAGAAATAAGGAAATCTTTTTGTAATAAATAAATTATATTAATCGAAAAGATTTTATTATAATTCATTAGAAAAAGAAGAAATGCGCGAAAAGTAGTAAAAATAAACTTGAAGATTTCTCCAATTACGTAACAATGGACCAATTTCAAGCAGGTGCAAAAATATATAGAAGATAATAATAATAATAAATAAAATTGCAATAAGACAATGCATAAAGTTCTGAAACTATGAAGGAGCCATGGTATAATAAAAGATGTTATTTTTTTTTTTCTTTGGTTCTCACATTAAAAGAAGTTTGTTCTATAAGACCTCCAAGAGATATATAGAAGTCAGGTAGTTGTAAAAATTCTTCTAAGAAATTTCCTTCAGTTATCTCATAAACTGGTCGAGATATCTCAGTTTTATTATATTTGAAATCATTCACGTCGCACATAATAATTAGTTAGCACCATAGTTCAGGTATAGAAACTAATCGAATCTGCTTAGTTTTTTTTTTTTTTTTGCCCTGCTCTCTCATCTTTTATAGACTCAAATATTTTTTCAAATAAAAAACTAATGAAACTAATTGAATTTGATCCAATTTCGAATTTCATTAAAACTTTTTTTTCTGTAAATTTTGGAAGTGAAAAATAAATAGAAAAGAATTTCTTGAAAAATATAGAATAATCTTTGGCTAGGAATGGAAAACAGTTTTCCATTGTGGCATTATAATTCGTTGGGTGTGTTGAAAACGTTTCTTTTTTTAAAATCTTTTGTGAAGAGTTCGTATATTTACATGAATAAAGGATTTGAGGGAATCCTTATTAAAGTGAAGCCGGGCTAAAGATGGGCCAACACTTCGACAGCTGCAACCGGAGGCGTTTGATCGCCACTAAGAATGACGGGCTCGGATTCTGTTTGAACAATCCTGACAAGATTCGCGTCCTTTTTTGATGGTACCAAAGTAGCTGTTGGTGTCACGTTCGCTCGTCCACAATAACTTGGCGGTCGACTCTCTCTCGTTGTGGTGCAAGGCGTCACAATGCTTCCAGCATTCGACCTATAAGTTGGCGGTGGCGATGACGTAGGTTGCAGACGGTCCAGCAATAACAATCGAAGTCTATATTCCTGCATACTCGCCTGTAAAGAAAAAAAAAAAAATACACTCTTTTTTTTTTAACGGATATTTTTTTATTTTCAATGTGTCGCCTTTATTTATATTTTTTTATTTAACAATTAGAATTGTTGATTTTATTATAATTCTTGTCTATTTAAAAATGTAAATTTAAAAAATTCCCAACTATAATAAATTAATGAGACGTTTACAAAATTTAGAATTCTTTTTTATATACAACTCCAGTGAGGGGAGATTAAAATTTACAATATCAGAATGTTTGACAATAAAAGAGGGAAATTTTCTTTTTTGTGACCACGATTTAACGAGCAAACAAAAGTTGGCTATAAAAAAAACTTATCCTATTTCAGGATGTGCAGAGCGGAAAAAAAAATTATTCATGAAATCATAAATTCTCTCACGAAACGCTCCTTGACTCGTTACGAAGTGCATATAATAAGATCTCCCCGATGCAACCAAGACGGAAGACATCAGTTCACCTTTGTATCTGCTTTTGCAAATTAGTGATTTAATTTCTACAGCTATATGGGGATTGTAAAAAGGCTTTTATTTCAACTTTTCCTTCGGGGGGGAGGCTAATATTAAAAAAGAATTTACATTTTTATTGCTATGAATAACATTTTTTGCTTATTTGAAAAAATTTTTATTTTATTAAATTTGCTTTCTATTTTCAAAGTTTTTTAAAAACTTTTCTTTGAAAAAGAAATTATCGACTTTTACCAATAATACAAACGAAAAGAATAAAATAGTATAATTGTAAGAGAGACTTTAGGAAATTTTTTTTATATTTTCATTATTAATCGAAATATTTCGCCATATATTTAAATAACAAAATAAATAAAAAGTAGAAAATCTTGTATACTAAACAGACAGTGAAAATAATTTTTATTTTTCTATAATTATTATTAAAATAAAATAATTGCCATGAATTTATAATAATTTCTCTCATCGGAAATATTGAAAAGTAAGTGAACGTTCAAATTATCAAATGCTATATTCTACCAACTCATAACGTGACCTCAAAATCTAGTTATTCCATCTTTTATCTCGTTATACTTTCTCTTTAATCTATGTTAATGAATCTTTACAATGTCAAGATCACTCGGCGAAGTATAAACATTAGAATACTGAAATGATCATCTCCATTTTATGGCTCTTTTCCTTGTCAACAAAAAAAAAAAAGTAAAAGTTGTTGTTGATCGAATATTGAAAAAATAGGCTACAGTTAAATTTAGATTTCTATTTATACGTAACAAATTTTTTTTTTTGAAAATAACAATGAATTTGCATTTTTTTTTTAATAAAAATTTTTCTAATTTTGTTTTTATTACTTTTTTAAAATATTCACAGGAAAAATTAGATGACTGACAATTTTTTATAAATTATTTATAAAAAAAAAAAAAATCTTTAGGTATATTTGCAATTAAAATACAAACATTTTCGCATTAAAATGAAATTTTATGTAATATATAAATACATTGAAATGAAAATTTAAATCAAGAAAGTTATATATTAAAATTTTTTGAAAGGATTTTTCAAGGTATGAAAAAATATATTTATTCAAAATGGCGAGGGTAACTCATTCAATATGAGTGTAGCATTAAGTGCATGAGAGAAAAATGCAATTTGGAGTTGTCAGCCGAGAAAACTGGAGAAACGATTTATCGTGTTCTTGAATGGAAACCGCATGAAGAAAATGCCTCACCTGGTAGCTTGGAGGTGGGGTCCTGAATTGAAATTCGGGATAAATCATGGCAGCGTATGGATGCATTGGCCTTGCCGGTGGAATCCTTCCCGAAATCCCCGTGAAGCCAAAGAAACTCCCGCAGTTTTCTCGACAGGTCACTCGCCACGCTACTGCACTCACAGTCACTAAAACGACTCCAATACCTGTAAATATAATAATAAAATCATACGAGATGCAATAACAGTCTGTGAATCTATATACGAAAACCATAAAAAAAAGATCGTATTTTTGATTAAAAAAAAAAGATAATTTTATAGTAGAGTTTTATCAAACGTTGCACATTTCTTTTTACGACTGTAAAGAACTTTTTTCCAAAGTACATTAGTGAAGATAAAATTCAATATATAAAAATAATGGTTTGAACATGGAAAAAAAAGAGGAAGACAAAAGATATTGTGAAAGGGTTAAAATCCTGTATTTCATTTGAAAATTGCTATTAATCGTGGGAGTGATTTAGAAGAGAAACGAAAGTCTAGAGAAAAAGTATATGGCAAATGAGTATTATATATCTATGAGAGGATTATTAAGAACACTCGAGTATAAAAAAAAAAATATGGCACTCTATAATCTCTCGAGTGAGAGAAAAACTCTCATTTGCTATACTTTCACACTATATATATACACATACTCCTTCATCAATTGAAGCCTATAATTTAATTATTAACTCTATCATTAAATTTTGTCTTAAATTACATTTTTTTTTAAAGGAAATAATAAAAAGAAAGTTTCGTCGTTTTTTTAGAAAAAAAATTTTTGGTCACATCAAATTTAATACCATTTGTCACAAATGTAATCTTACATTTTGTTGGAAAAAAATCTATTTTCAATAGAGCGCAGCTGTCTTTGTAGTTGAAGTTGTCAATCTTCAGAAAAGAAAATAGAAATGCGGCCCTGATTTGAAAAAAAAAAAAAACGAACGAAAAGAGATTGATGAAAAATAAAAATGAGAGAGGTATATAGAAAAAGCATGTCAGAGGTAGGATCAACCGCAAAAGCAGATCGTTGGTAGGATATATTAGTGTGTGGTGTTATACATACGTATATATACGTAAGATATCCCTAGTCTTAACTAGCGGACTTCGTTCTGTTACTTTCTAAATGTATAGGCTTATAACCTGCGACCCAGAGAATGTTGCTCACAATAGAGAATGTTCTATAACCTACACAGCTAACACCCACACCACGCGGTTCCTCCCGCATTAGCTATTTCTGTTACTGAAGAACTAATTGTGTGCTGACAGTGACAACACGACTCGCTTCTTTGGCTAATATATATACTTTAAAATTTATAATTAATACCATCCCTACTTAATTTTAATCCATAATTTTGTGCCTAAATATCTTTTATCGCCATCATAAATCAATTTTTGTACTTTTATATTAAAAATTGTACAATTCCCTTGAGAAAAATTCTTAATCGATTTTTTAAATGTAAAATTTTAATTTCAAAACCTCTTCAATTGGATAAGTTATTGTAACTACTAATACTATAAGAGAGAAGTTTTTTAATTAATCGATCCCAAAGAATTAAGGGAACATGAAGAATATTTAAGTTTGCCGTATAATGTGAGCTTAAGGTTCGCGTTCTTAAGATAATTGAAATCCCTTCCCCTCGTGGCAATTAACGGTATTTGTGAATCTGGATCAACTCTATAAAGACAGTATACGCGCGAGGAAAAGAAAGCGAAATTTCATTTGCGAATAACATCTTTTGTTTTACTTTAAATTTATGTGATGTTGTTGATTAAAAGTAATTTTCTAGAAAGCTAGAAACGATGGGGACAAAAATTATACTACTACATTTCAACGAAAACTCAACTTATCATATAAATGAAACAATAATGTAAAAACAACTATTTTGGATTAAGAGATACGAATTTACTAATTGATAAACTGTTTGTAATATGCATAACAATCGAATGATTTCGACATTTAATTTATTTTTTAAAACAAGATTTTACAATGTATTAACATCATTTTCGTTCTGTAATGAAAATTGTAGAACAATGAAATTGTAATATCGAATTTATGATATAAACTATAAACAGTGCTTTATGCCTTTAAAATACCTATATATCTGTTATAAATCAAAATACAGAAACTTTTAGTCTTTTATTCCAAATAAAACAAAATCGTTTGACTATTTTTTCTATCTGAAAAAGATTACTGAAAATCACGATGAATCCTAGATTTCTGAAAGCATCCTTTCGATTAATGTTATAATATTTAATAATTAGAAAGTTTCATCAATAACGTGAAAGTACTGCGAATTGCTCTAATAATTTATATTGCATAACTTTCTTAATATCTATCTGTATCTTCGGAAATCTTTTTTAATATATTATTCATTCGCGCAAGTAACACATAATTTCATTCACTATAACTCATCATACTCTTATGAAATTCAATTATACTGCACAAAAAATATAACAATAAAAAAAATCCATTTTTTCCACAAGAAAAATTTTTGTTTGAAATTAACAAATTAAATTATGCGTTAAATAATAATGGATTGAAAACTACGATGATTGCATATATATTCTCAATTACCTTATACTCATCTCATACAAAGTGTGATGAGGGTTTGTTCTTAAAGGTCAGTGTAAAATATAATGTCCAAGTATATTCGATATAATTATCTCTTTCGATCATCCGAAAGAGTTTTTTTTTTTTTTTTTTTGATCGTGAAGATAATCAAACAGCAATTTAATGTGACTATGCATTTTTCAAATGAGCTCACAAATGAATATGTATTGTACCTTGGCAGATCGACATTCCAAAGAAACCATAAGATTTAACTGGTATTGTTTATTGAGTCGCACTTGAAAGGAATTAAATCTCTAATGACCAATAATTCGTTTTGTCCTTCCAACTTTTGCTGCGAGCGAAATTTGATTTGACAAATATCAAATTAAAGCAAATCTAATTTTTATTTGAAAATTATTTTATTTTCAACGCACTTGGTATAAAATTAAGACAAATATTTACTACTAAAATTTTTACAATTAAATGTATTTAAACATTTGTGAATAACTCTTATTATATAGTCAGAGCTTAGGATATGGCAAAAACTACTCTGTTTTGAATATGAAAAGACCTCAAAAGACCCGAAGTAGTTCAAGGACTAATATATACAAGAACCAAAGGACGTGCCACATATTGAGACGATATTCTTCTGAATAAAGACTTTTGTCTCGTGTGATTTCAAGGCAAATATTATTTTTCTTAAAGCTATATGGGTGTTAAGAGAATTTTCCTTCTCGCCGCGCGCATTAACTTCGTGCATTGCATAATTCAAACAATATTAAAAAAAAGATGCTGCATTTTTAATATTGTGCGCTTTGCATAGTTCCTCGATCTCAAAGAATTTTTTTTTTTTCTGCATAATTTCAACTTCTTTATAATAATTATATATATACGAATGCATTCGTCATTGGTTGATTATTCCTTTAATTTATCATCTGATGTAAAATTACTGTAATTATAAATTATTATATTTTTATTTAAAATTTTAATTTTTCGATAATTGTTCCTTTTTTAAATTATTTTGCTTCTTTTAATTTTTGTAATTTGCATAATATTAATTTGAAAAAAAAAAAAAAATTTTCATAATTGATGAGTTTTGAAATATGTATACTTATATATTATTTTGCCGCAGTGGTAAATTACACATTTAATTGCAAATGATTGCAGATTACATACCGAGGATTTGTGTTTATTGGAAAACAATTTTTCGCTGTCGATATATATATATATAGATGTTAAATATATCCTCTGTCTTTTTAAATGGTTTTAAATAAACAGCACTGATTTCATAGATATCGATTGATAAGGCACACGTATTTTTGACCTCGTGTATATAAAGTTTCATAATGCGCATGGCACTTGTTAAATGAAAAATCGAAATCCATCCGCCCAACCTAAGAATGAATATACAGTCTGGTGGATCTCATAGATAAGTTAGTCGAGCCAATTGCAACGTATTTTACAACCATGAATTATTGATGCGATATAACAAACGTTCGTATATATATATACCTATGTATATTTACTAACCTTGGTTCAATCTAGCAGATGGACCGTACGGTAGGATATTGCGAAAATTATGCGACGGAAAATAATAAAATGCTACTTGCAAATATGCGCGTTGCGACATTCATTTTCAATGCAAATTCGACAAGTTATAAACAGTTTTGTATTTTTCTTTGTTTCAAAGTCGAATATTTATCTAACACCATGGATATATTATGGAAATTTATTTTTTATTTAAAAATTCATAATTTAAAAACTAACAAGAATTTGAATAAGTTTTTCTGTTTCAAAAGTGATTTATGTATATACTATTGAAACAGAAATTAGAAGAATTTAAAATATTTTGTCTGACTAAAACTAACATTTACTACTGATGCTAAAAAAACGTTTTATCTGACCATGAAAGTCTTTGACTACTTATTAAAAATTAGAACAATTTGAAAACAAATTTTACTAATAGTAAAAAAAACTAAATATTAAAATTTTAAAACGTCTGACAAAAACTGATTTCTACTACTGAATCAAAAATTACAGAAATTTAAAAGATTTTGTCTGTCTAAAAAAGTCTATGACTACTAATAAACAAATACGAATTTGGAAAAATGTCTGACTAAAACTTTTATTTTTCTATACTAATAAGGAATATAAAACTTTTTGTCTGACTCTAACTGTCTATGACTACTGATAGCAAAATTCAAAAGAATGTAAAGAAATGTCTGACTAAAATCTTCCTCTTCTACTGGGAAAAAAAAAATTCAAACGTTTTGCCTATATAAAACTGTCTATAAATACTGATAAAAAAAAATTAGAAGAATGTTTAAGAAATTATTTACTGAAACTTCGTTTTTCCACTGATAAAAATAATGTCGTGTCTGACTATTTCTGCCTTTATCTACTAATAATTACATTACAATAAATTGAATCGTTTTGAAATTAAATTTCACTGAACCTTTTCAAAAATTCCGTTGTCTAAACAAATCTCACATTTCCTACTTATCAAAATTACAAAAAAAATTTTGTAATTCACATTTAAAATTAATGTCAAAATTACAAAAAAAAAATGTGTAACTCACATTTACCATTAAGTTTCTATTTTTAAAATTTCAAGTTTTGCCTGTCAGCAACTGTCTTTTACTACTGAATCTATATATTAGAGTGGGGGATATAAATACTCTCACGTAACTTAGATAAGTACGCAGCTAATTCAAACATATTGTTGATGACTTAGCTCATTTTTTTTCACTGCGCTACTGAAAAATAATTGAATTTAATTTTCAAAAAAAAAAAACTACTCTCATCGGAAACTAAGATCAACAAATTACATCATTTTATAATAATTACACCATTATAATTTGATAGATTTTTTTCGAGAATTTTTTTTTTTATTTTCAAATTCTATTGTTTTTAGCTTATATTAAAACTGTCATTGTTTAAAATTAACAAACATTCCATTTAACGTTGTTATTGGAAAATAATTAACTTCTACTATATAAATACAATAAAATGTATTAGACCTTGTGATTGTTTATGGATCAATTTTATATATATATATATATATTGAATCAGCATTAAAAAAATAGAGACCCGTTACGGTTGAATTACACATTAGAAACAGTCTTTGATTACACAAAGACAGTGAATGTATATAGAATGGAAAACTCATAGGTCTTAAGGTGCAAATCATTAAAGAGAATCTGTGATGCATGATTGCCACCTGTCGCGTGCTTGAACAATTAAGGCCTTACAACCTTGCTGTTTACGGCACGTGGGCCCATAAGCAGAGTTGTCATTGCGCGCGTACTAACTGCGTGAAACCTGAATTATTACATAACTTTGAGAAGACAACTACGCACAATGTGCGTGTAACGAATCAACTATAAAGCTTTACGATATTCGTTGTTGACTTGTATATATATATATCTATACACATATATTATTTATAGATTCAATATATTTATATCTATGCCGCGCAGCTATAACCTTGCTCGAGAATTCAAATAAGCACTTGTCCCATGAGACGTAAAATGTATTCTTTATCTTCAAGATTTTTTTTTCCACTACAAAAGACATTGATAGGACGGCGAGGAAGGACATTTATTACTGTACCATATATAACAATGTCATTGTTAGTGTGTCAATAGCAAATACAAAGTCAACTGTACCATATATGTCTATACTTTTGTTAGAAATGTCACTTTTGAAAATCTGATTTTTGTCAATCAAAAAAAAATTTATCGACTTTTGAATTTAAAAAAAAAAAAAAAAATCTTTCTTTATCATTGCAAAAGAATAAATTCTTCCAGATGAATAAAACTGAAGTAAATATTGTAAATTTATGACTATGAAAGCAAAGTATATTGAAAAGTAGTTAAAAAATATTTTTTATGGAATTATAAAGATAGTTTATTGATTCATATTTCTTTAATGACAGTTTTGACAAGATTAAAAAATTACGTCCCCTTTATTTTATTCTTTAATGAATTAATATTTTCGAAATTAATAATGAAAATTATTACTGTACCATTAAATGCAAAATTATTTTATCATAATTTTGAATACTGCAATATTTATTGGGCCCCTTTTTTTTAATTTTTATAAATATAAATTAAATAATAAAATAAATTACTCCTTTAATATTCGTATTACTTTGTAATATATTTGACTAATATTATTATTGTTACTTTTACTAATATATAAAGAACGATAAAAGTTCTTCCTCGGTGAGATTTAAGATTCTGGCATTCTGCTTAAAAAGTTATGTTAATTTTCCAATATGCAATAAAAATTCAACATTAAGTTCGAGCGCAAACGATTGTAAGACTTTCCAATTTTAGTGGCTCTTCTCTTCATTGTATAAACAATTGAACTAACAATGCAGTAAATTACAAATATATCTTGTATTTCGTTTCGCTCGATAAAACACAAAAGTTTTATATACTTTTGTCGTTGTGTTTAACGGATATATGAAACATGCTTTCTGTCTCCAAATATGAATCAAAGCAGCTGCTATTCGTATTTCAAATATTGGCCTATTGGCATATTTTGTTTTTTTTTTTTTGAATCACTTCCATTATTCTAATTATATTTCTAACTTTTGTTTTCTTCAAAAATTATACAATTTTTTAAGAATTTTTCTTTCAAACAGAAAGCAATAAAAAAAGAAAGTGAAATACATTTGTGTATTTTTGAAAAAATTAGGAAATTAAAAATATTTTAATGCTAAATAATTTTTGGAATCTATATAGAAGAATATAAAATTAATTTAAATATTATTACTTCTATTTATGCGGAAATAGAAGACAATAAGAAATATATTACAGTATTCAATATCGCATCAGTGACGACATAAAATTACATTTAACATTATCAATGTACTTGACAAGACATATATTATATCATTAAAAACAAAATTCCATTGAAAAACGTTTCACATAAAAACCCTCGACCTTGTAATTCAAATAATCTATTTAGTTTCTGCGTGGTCTATTGTTTTTCTATAATTTTTTTTTTATGATCCTTTTAAATAGTAATTATATTTATTACAAAGAAGTTATAAAAATACACATAATTTATTTGCCGTTGCAAAAAAAAATGCAAAAAAAAAATGTAATAATATAATATTAAGTATATTTACGATTTTGTAAATTAACATTTAAATGTTTGTGTATTGAATAACTTTGCAGATCTTTTGCATGTTTTAAATATTTTTTTTTTGCAGCGTGTATAATAGAGACCCGCCTATTGAAGTAAAAACTAGATTGAGTGTGCACAATTCTTTTAATATGGAACTTTGATCTAAATGAATTGAAGGACGGTGGTCAATGATTACGTTTCTTGTTGAGATGATTATTGTTATATTTAACCTTTAAGTCAAAATCGATAACGAGAATAAATAGGTATTTGTTTCAAATTATATAAGTAAATAAATATTAATAAAATATAATAAATATGAATAATTAAATCACATTAAATTTTTATATTAATTAAATGTTAATTAATTATGTATTAACAAATTATATTTTTTTTTAAATAAAAATTATTTTACTGTCTAAACTCTACTTTTATTTATTGTCTGCGTTAATTTTAATTGATAGTTTTTTTTATAATTTTGCCGGAAAAGATAAAAGTTTTATTTTTTTTTTTTTAGTGAAATATTATCATTTATCGCGAAAAATATAGTTATTAGTCATAGTTTACTTATATACATTTACAATAATTGCTCTTTCAACATCATCAGTGACAAGTGCCTCAGAAAACAACTTTCTCGCCATTATTGACTAAAAGTGAGTGTTTAACTTTAATAGTTCAAAGAGATTTTGTTTAAAATATAAATTTATCAGTATTTAATTTACGTATTTTTTTTGTTATGTCAAAAGATAATCTCTTATCTAAAAGAGTTCACATTTTGAATCGTCACACCTTAGACATTAAGAAACGCATTACTTCATACGACAAAAGTATAGAATAAAAAAATGAATTTTTTTTTTAAGTCTCTAAACAAATAAATAAAATGAAAAAATATTTAATATTTTTTTTTTTTTCAATATATTTGTGCAAATAATTTTTTAGGTCCAAAATATTGAAAATCTCACACGCTCTTTGTGTTCGGTGACAATAGGGAAAATAAAAATTTTTATCCGTGAGAATGGAGTCTCTAATTGTTGTTGGACATTATTTATAATATAGTTGAACATTAGGTTGGGAAAAATAATTTGAAGGACTGCAAAGACTTCACCAGTTATATAGAATACATAATTCGTGTGGGCATCATTAAATCGTGTCACGCACAACCATCCACTTACTCTATGTTCTACAACTCATGTTCTCTTATTTCACAAGAGAGAAGACTTTATTATTAATTTTTTTTTTTTTTATTATAATTATTAAAAGCGGCACACCTCCCGCTTAAAACAACTCAAGGCTCTGAAATCTATTTTCATTCCACAATCAATATATATATATTTTATTAAAAAAAAAATTGTCAATATAATTATGACAATAAAATATTTTAATCTAGTATAAGATTTTAAAAAATTTTTAAAAACGAATTCAGTAATGATATTGTTAATTGCTAAATATATATATATATATAAATTTTGAAATGGAAATGAAAATAAAATTTATCCTGCAAACACAGTTGTAGCGTACCGTGTTCGGTGATAAGATTGTAATAATATAAAGAGAAAGGAAAATCGATAGATCACTTACCGATCATGAGTAAAGCAACAGCAAAATGATCACGACCTGTTGCCCTGAGAGCCCCTAAGAGCACCCCAGCCCCTGCGCAAACAAGTCCCACGATTCCAACGCCAAGGATGGACCAACGAACGGGAGGCGAGCCCAATCCACAACATTGCTTTGGCACTGCGTCCCTGTAACAAGAAAATCAACCGTAGAGTGACCTACTGACACACTCGATCCCGCCGGAAAGCGGGAAAGGTATATATATATATATATATATATATATAAGCCTGCAAGGATCCTGCGGATCTTAGAAACCACAGATCTCCTATAACAAACTAACTCGATAATTGTATCTCCCTGGTTATAAATTAGATCAAATGACTCATTTGCTTACACCAAACTTTCGATTGTACTTCTTCCTACTAATTTGCTTTTTTCGGACGCATGATTATGTTCTAAAAATCATTAGTCATAATTTACATTTTATCGAATTTTATTTGTCCTAATTAGTTTTTGAGCCGAATTTTAATTTGTTCGAAATATCATTTGGCATAATTTTCATCAATCCGATTTTTTATATGGCAGAATTTTTATATAACGGAAAATTCAACTCACAGAATTTTTATTCCTTCGAATTTTTATTTGTCAGAATTTTCATTTGTCCGAATTTTCAAATGGCCGAACAAACAATCGACAGAAAGATTTCGGCGCGATTTTTAAAATCAACCAATCAAAAATTATTCATAAAATTGTGATTGGTTGATTGACAAATGAAAATTCTATCAATTAGAAATTCTATTAAATGATTTGTCGGTTAAGTAAAAATTCTGTAGTATGAAAAATCGATTATATGGAAATTATATCAAATAATAATTCGAACAAATGAAAATTCATCTAAATGGAAATTCTATTCAATAAAATTCTACCCAATAAAAATTCTTTAAAATGCCGATTATGTTAAATGAAAATTCGGACAAATGAAAATTCTGACAAATAAAAATTCGAAGGAATAAAAATTCTGTGAGTTGAATTTTCCGTTATATAAAAATTCTGCCATATAGAAAATCGGATTGATAAAAATTATGCCAAATGCTATTTCAAACAAATTAAAATTCGGCTCAAAACTAATTAGGACAAATAAAATTCGATAAAATGTAAATGATTTTTAGAACATAATCGTGCGTCCCGCTTTTTTTTATATTTTATAATACGAGGCTAAATTATTTAAAATAATAATTTAATAAAACAATTTTTCTAATACATAAACTATATTCTGTTTTTTCTAATTTGTTATAAAAGGGGATGATGATATTTGTGACCTCATTGTTTTTTTGGCCTGGGATGAAAGATATCGCGATTAACCCAATTATTATTTAAACACTGATAATTGGAAAGCTAAGTAATCGTTCCTCGAATATCTGTAATGGCATTTAGCTTCCCTTCAGAGATTGGGGAAATTATTGATTTTCATGAGTTCGTCAAGGATCGTGGGTTATTGCTTGACTGGAACCTTGACTGGAAAAGAACACGTGCGCTATACTGATTTCAGTAGAATAAAAGTTTCGAAATTAAGGACTTTAATAGCACATCTCAGTATAAATAGGCTTTTAGAAAATAATTTTCTCTTGAACTACAATCAGGGAAATCTTTATTTGAATCAAATAAAAATATATTTATCTCATAGTTTGAATGTGCACCATGAAAAAAGTAATCTCATATTTAGAGGAAAAATCCTCTCAATTTTTCCTCTTAAAACAAAAGTATTCCACTTGAATGTAGAGTATTTTTATTCTTTGGTAACTAATAATAAAACAAAATAATTTTTTTGAGGTTCTGATGTCAAAAACATTGAATTAAAGTTAAATAAATAAACAAAACTATTAATTAATGTAAGTAATTAACTATAAATCATAAATTATATTTAATATTTAATTAAAGATATTTAATTTAGTGCATGATAATAGCTTTTCTTTATCAGTGTTTAACCATAATTGTCAAATTATATGCGAGAGGAAAATCCTCTCAAGTGAAGACTATTACTTTTGATACAATATATAAGTAGAAAATATGCATCAAATTAAGAGGAATTCGCTAGAATCAAGATTACTTTTTTTAGGGTGTGTAATAACATTTTATTTGTTCTAAATAATTTTATTCAAATAATTTTATTTAGTGTAATTAAAATTTTTATTTACTCTGTAAATCTCAATGAGTATAAAAATATTTACTAACTTTAATTAGTGACTCACTTTTTGCTTCTGAATTAGTAAAATTTTACTAATTATTAGTTAAATTTTACCAATTCTTAGTAATTCTAAAGCAAAAAGTGAGTCGCTAATTTAAATTAGTAAACATTTTTTCAGATTTAAAGAGTAAATCAAGTATTTATTTGGCTCTAAAACAAATATATCTTTACCCTAGTAGAAATTGTTCCCTTGCAGTTCTTGCAATTAATTTATTTATTCTCACACTTGTTAAAACTAAGTACTTTATATAAAGTCATACTAAATATGACATCACGTAAGCTTTCCTACAATCAAAAAAAAATATATATAATTTAATATTGTGTCATTTATCGAATAGTTTTGTTGCGTCTTTAACAACCCATTGTAGAACATTTTTCTCGACACGAATGTATACATAGTGTACCTTGTATATAATATACATTCGATATGGTTATATACACTATAATCTGTGTACAATAGTTTATATTCGCGCTTGCTTCTATAACAAGAAAGATTCTCTTCTCGCACGGAACATTGTAATCAGGATTCTGTTTCCAACGCGATGCACATGGATGACCTCCCCCGACATTCAAGTGCCATAGAGGAAAAGTGAAATTATATTATGTACGTGACCGAATTCATAGAAATGAAACTTCTATTTAATATCCCCCTTAAAAAAGGGGCAGAGTTTTAGCCTTTAAAACACTAGTATGCTACTCGAAAAAATATTGTAACTGAATTTATGAAGCGAAAGTTCCGGTTTCACGGTTTAAAAAGTTATACAAAGTTTTTTTTTTCAATTGAAAAAATTTGTTTTACGAATTTAAAATCCTTAACAAAATTTTTTCGATAAAACACGAAAAAATTATTATAAAGAATTTTATGTTTATTAAAACAACTTATTTTTCTAGTCTTTCTGAAAAATGTTATGAAATTTCTTTGCTACTTTTAGAAACATCAACATCTTTTTTTTAACTGAATATTATTTTTCATGTCAATAAAATATTAATTTTTCAATTTTTTCTCCTATATAGGTGCTAAAAACTACTTGAAATTTCAAGTATTGACATTTACTGAAAGTTTTTATCTTCATTCATATATATATACTGCAATTGAAATCCAATAATCACATATACATATATACATTGATTTCGCTTTGCGCACATTTATACATTCAATAGAACCTTGAAAAAAAATTTAATGAATGGTAGATAAAAATTAATAAACTTTATAAATGAAATTTAATATATGTAAATGAAAAAATCTTCCAATATTGTACAAACATTAAAAGTTCTTCATATTTTCTAAATAGTATGCAGTCAAGCATATTAATTTCGCATAGTTTACATTTAATAGAAAGAGATTTCAAAGTTACTGATGTATAAATATATTATATATAATATAAAATATATAAATATTGCATTGATATAAATATCATTAATTTAATAAATAGTTTATATTTTAAATAGTACTATAATTCATGTTTCTATTTCCTGTATAATTGAATTAAAAATAATAAACGTTTATTATTTGAGTAAATCTCGATCAATAAAAAGAAGAAATATGAGAATACTTTGCTATAACAAAAAAAAATAGTAAAAAAAAATCCTTATAATTTTAATAACTCTTTTTAAATCATTAACTTAATTAACAAAGTTTATTTCGTTATTGTAAAAATTGTATATAATATTATTAAAACATTGTCAAAAAGAAAACATTTCTAATTACTCCAAAAGTAATTTAAAATTGTACAGTGAAATGAATATGTATCTCATTTACTCTGGAATGCACGAGAAAATAAATATGTCTGGCAATATTTGGTTGAGCGAAACAATCTTTTTTTTGTCAGTAAAGTTCGTGGAAACATTATCCCATGCACATACACAAACACAATATATATATATTACATATTGTTAGTTTCACGTGGTTACATAAAGTCGCTTGGTAAATATTTAATTAGTAAACAGTAAACTAGTCCTGTATTAAATTAAAACCGATGTTAACTTTTTTTTTCTATTTTAAAAAAATTATATATCTATATATTGTGTGAATGGATCAGAAAATAGAATATAACACACATATTCTCATTATTTTATATATATATAGACTTTAATAAGCCATCAGACGAATAAAATCGATTGGTTTATTTCAAATTGCTCGTGTTAAGCGAATATAATATCCATTCATGTATAACAGAGAAGATGATTTACAAAGCTATTGCATTTATGGTAAAATTAAATACTTCCTTCCTTTTGCGTGTCAGCCATGAATGCCAAAAGGAAATTAAATGAGTACTCGCTGAAAATCATTTGTAAATTTCCTTTACTACTTCCTGTCGATCGCTGTCTAATTAGTTTATCTATACGCTTCGAATTCAAAACTCGTCTTTATATAAATACATATGTATAAAATATATATGTTCACGTCAATAGAAAGAAGAAAAATAATTAATGATGCACGAAATTACCTTCTCTACGTGCGGAAAAAAAAGTACGGTTCCCACATCACAATATGTCACATTAAAAATAAAAATAAAATAAATTATCCAAATATGGAATCTGAAAACTATGTGTCAAACATGTATTTATAAGCTCAACCACAATTATGAATGCGGCACATCACAACTATAAAACAATCCAATTTCTAAAAAATGATACTGAATTTATATTGATAGAAAAAAATATTTACACTAATTTGAATAAACGCATAAAAAAAAAGATGAAAAAAGAAAGGACAAAAATTCTTTCACTTTGTTCGGATGTAAGCAAAAAACTTATGAGAAGAAAAGTAACGGAAATAACAAAACACGAAGGTGGATTGGGAACAGTGAAAGCAATATACTCTCAGATTATTCATGTTTATTATAACCGGATCCCCCTTTCTGACATCCATTTTTTTTCTTTTTTTTTGCTTTTTCTTCCTCTTGAAATGTTTCTTTTACTATAACAAAATATAATTGCAAT